TCAAGGGGCGAATGCCTATTCCTGCTCCTACGTCTTTTGGAAAGGATAATAATAAAGTGGATTGACTGTGTATTTTGAGGGCAAAATACGACAGCCAATTGTGCACACCAGTGTCCCACAAACAGTCGTGTGACCAAATTATTTATTTTCGAGGGAAAATCGACTAACAACCAGGTTCCTACTCACTGCTCCGTGAACAAAGGCATGAGAGTAAGGAGACTTAATAATAATAATTCTTGCGTTTGATATAGCACTTTTCACATCTTCTAGACGTCTCAAAGTGCTTCACAGAATAGACTGTAAAGTGAATTGACTGTATATTTGTGGGCGAAACACAGCAGCCAATTGTGCACAGCAGTGTCCTACAAACAGTCGTGGATTGAAAATTACCAATTTATTTTGGAGGGATTATTAGGCACGTGGAGTAAGGAAACTTGCCCCAGCTTTTGCCCTGCCTGGAAATGCACCTAGGTGTCTGCTTGCAAGGCAAGTGCTCTAACCACTGAGCTACAAGACTCCCACTGAGCTGTAGAACTTGTCCAAGGTTTCGCCCCACTCAGGAATCAAACTCAGGTACTTGCAAGGCGAGTGTTCTAACCACTACGCTACAGGACTTCATAATAGATAACTAAACAGTCAAGATGCAACACTGCATTCATATCATTGGCATCTCATCAGATGTAAGGTACTTACATACCCTAGTGCTGCAATGAGGAATTCAGCAAAATGGAAAATCAATTTACTGCATTACACCCTAATGCAGGGTCTCGGAGGACTTACAACAGGCAGAAAAATTGCTTTATGTGTTCATGGATATTAATAAATCACTAAATAAAGTTTAAAAAAATTAACCATTTTTTCCAAATAAATCAATTTACTGAAAATATTCAGGAAAATATCAACTGCATTTAAATTAACAATTCCCCAATGTGGCTGAACTTGCTCCCCAAATGTAGCTCGCTATACAGGTTAATACAACAAGATTGCATTTATAGAGCGCCTTTCACGTCGGGAGGACGTCCCAAGGCGCTGTACAGTTGGGTCGGGACATGAGCAGGGGAGAAATGGTCAGGGTGAAGGGAGGGAGCGAGGAGGGGGTAGAGAGTCGAGAGGGGAGCTGAAGGTACGGTTGAAGAGAAAGGTCTTGAGACCGGCCTTGAAGGAGGAAAGGGAGGAAGCGGCGAAGGCACTGGGAGATGGAGTTCCAGAGCCTCGGGGCTGAGAGGCTGAAAGCCTGACCACCGATGGTAGGGCGGTTAGGGCGGGGGATGTGGAGCAGACCAGAGCCAGAGGAACGGAGGGTACGGGCGGGTAGGTAGGGGGATAGTAGGTCGGAAAGAGCAAGGCCGTGAATGGCCTTGTAGGTGAGGATGAGGATCTTGAATTCGATCCTCTGGGGGATGGGGAGCCAGTGGAGGCGAGCGAGGGTGGGAGTGATGTGGTCGCGGTGTCTGGTGCGGGACAGTACACGAGCTGCAGAGTTCCGGATGACCTGCAGTGTGGAGGGAGGGCCGGGAAGGCCGACGAGGAGAGAGTTCCCATAGTCCAGCCTTGAGGTGATAAAGGCGTGGACCAGTGTTTCAGCAGCATGAGGGGTGAGGTAGTGCCGTAGTCTGGCGATGTTCCGGAGGTGATGGAAGGCAGTGCCAGTTGTGTTGGGGATATGAGGGAGAAAGAACAGCTCAGGGTCGAACAGAACACCGAGGTTCCTGACTTCTTTGAGAGGTGGAGAGTGCAGCCTTGGATGCTGATGCTAATACTGTGACCGGTGAAGATAAACTGGGGGAAGCAACGCTCACAGCCATTTTGACACTGTTCCTTATGGGAATTCTTAACTTTTTCATGGTTTTTGCATAGTTTATAATTGATCAATAAATAGTAAATCAAGAATACGGTAGCTTCATCAAACCCATAAGAATTTTTTTTCACACAGCAAAAACATTCACGCTATGCAAATGGACATCATTTTATCAGCCATGAGCTGAAATCAGGCAGTTATAAAACAGCACAATGTCCACACCTTTAACTTTTTTCTAAGATACTGTATAATGAGAATACAGGGTATGCTTACGATTAGTAAACTACAAGTACCTCTGAATGGCTCTGGGGAGATGAATCCAAATTGAGTTATTGTCCATCTTCAAATTGGGAAAAATGCTTCCTATTGCCTAGTCGAGCTAGTGACCTGTTACCCCGGGCGTTTCCTTTCGACAAGTTTATTTCCATTTTCGCTTCCTTGTGCATCCCAGCAACATGCATCTTTCCCGCTTGACAATTTAGGATAGCGACCTGGTCTAAGCTCTTTGCAATGTTGTGCATCTGAGCAGCACAGATTTCAATCTTCTCCAATCCTCCCTTCTACTTACTGCCTGAAAAGGGTGTGAATGTCAGATCATATCAGGGACTGGCTCTGGCTCAGGTGTGATGCCCTCAGACATATAGCTTGAGCAGATTCACTAGGCAACAACAAATTACATTCGTATAGCGTCTTTCACGTCAGAACATCCCAAGTCACTGGGCAGTCACTGCACCTGAGCTGGTGGTTGGGATCAGGAGGGGTAGAGGGTAGGGGTAGGAGGGTGACCAAAGCAAGACAGAGGGTCTTGGATGCAAGGGAGGGGGGTGGCGAGGCAGAGGGACTGTGAGATGGAGTTCCAGAGGGTGGGGGTAGAGAGGCTGAAGGCCCGCCCGCCAATGGTGGCACGGACAAGGCAGAAGACGTGAAGCAGGCTGGAGCCTGCTGAGGGAGCAGACACGTTGGTAGGGTGGGGTCAGAGGTAGGGAGGTGCAAGGCCATAGAGGGCTTTGAAGGTGAGGTCCAGGATCTCGAACTGTATCCTCTGAACGATGGGGAGCCAGTGGAACCGGGCGAGGATTAGCAGGGCAAAACATTGGGCAAGTTTCCGTACTCCAAACACCTGTTTATCTAGCAGTAAGTAGGAACGCGGACACTTTTCCGGAGTAATAATCCCTTCAAAAAATATATATAATTTTGTAACTAATCTGACTGTTTGTGGGACACTGCTGTGCGCAATTGACTGCCGCGTTCCATCCATAATAGTCAATTCACTTTACACTATATTCTGTGAAGCATTTTGAGACGTATAGAAAACAGAAGGCACCATATAATACTTGCATTTGATACAGCGCTTCTCACGTCTTCTAAATTTATTTTTTAAAGACCAGTCATGTACTTGCATTTGATGTTCAGAAATGTACCCAACATAAGCTCATTTTAGAAGGTATCAAAACAGAATGTTTTTTTTCCCTTCGATTTTATTGAAACATTTACAGATAATTTTGCAGATCTTAGAAATGTCACCATACCTGAAGAGAGGGAAAAATAGTTAAGGTCTGCTGGCAAACCAAGAAGACACTGTCATATGTTGTGCATTCATTTAATTCTTCTCAGACAAATGCCTCTAAGTCGTCAGGAAAAAAGACATTCTGCTCAGGAGCCTGAATCCAATGGCACAAAACGTGCCACTGTATTAGGCATCCTGAAACAGGGGATGCCTAGTCAGACTCGTCATCGATCATCACTGAAGCAATTCAGCACAAATTAAAGGATCACATTCTTGAAGATACAGAACATAAAATGACAATACAAATACAAACTACAGCAACTGCCCTTCCCCGCACCAAAGGCAAATAAAAGCAGACTCAGTTCTCTCTCGCTCCCCACTGGAAATATATGGATAACAAGCAGAGGCATTGCCACTACCTCTGTGGCTCACACCTGTGCGTTCACACCAGTAAAACCTGCCAGATTGGTTTAAATCAGTGGGGTTTTACCCTGGATTAACATTGGTGGACTAGATACAAATAATACAAATTATTGTCACAGATGGTTAATACAGAAATAATTCATCTTCAATGAAAGAGCACTCACCTGTTATGCAGTGGCTACTGGCTCAAGTTGCTGGATAGCAGATTGCTCTGGTTCACCTCCCTTTTGACTCTGAGGGTCTCAGAGGATTTACAATAGGCAGACAAATGGCTATGTGTGTTCATGGGTAATATTAAAACATTGGATAAAGTAAAAAAATGGCTAAAGTTGTCCAAATAAATACATTTTCTATCATTTACTGAAAATATTTAGAATGTCAACTGCTGCTATTAAATTAATAATTCTCCCATTGTGGCTTACCACACAGGTTAATAGTGACTGGTGACAATAAACCAGGAAAAAAAATGTATTTTATGGGTGAAGCTTAGCAGCCTTTGCACACGGCAATGCGCCAGGAGTGGAGTACTCACTTTTTTGTGGGGGGATTATTACCCCTGGAAAGCGATCTGCCAATCAACTAACAACCAGGTTCCTACTTACTGCTAGGTTTCACCCTGCCCAGGAATCGAACTCAGGTACTCTCGCTTGCGAACGTGTTAACCACTACGCTACGGGACTTCATGACAGATAACTAAACAGTTAAGATGCAGTATTGCATTCATACCATTGGCAGCGCATCAGATGTAAGATACTTACATACCCTCATGTTGCAATGAGGAATTCCAGCAAAATAACTGGAAAATCAATTTACTACATTACACCCAAATGCAGGATCTCAGAGGACTTACAATAGGCAGATAAGTGGCATTGTGTGCTCATGGTTACTATGAAATTATTGAATAAAGTAAAACAAAATTGACTGTTTTTCCAAATATATCAATTTTCTATCATTCACTGAAAATATTCAGGAGAATGCTAACTGCTGCTATTAAATTAACAATTCTCCCAATGTAGCTCCCCAAATGCTTGCTACATAGGTTAATACAGTGACTTGTAGAGATAAACCGGGGGGGGGGGGGGGGGGGGATCAGACCCACCCGCACTTATCCAGTGACATCTGATGAAAAATGCAATGCATGAACCTGTTATTAGTCTCGGCTGCAACTCAATTCATGATCAATTGTCTTCCCTACATTTGTCATTTGTGTTCACACAAACAACCACCCAGGTAAAGTATGAGGACAAGAAGCATCTTCGCAAAATGTTTTTTCCCTTCGGTTTTATTGAAACATTTACAGATAATTTTGCAGATCTTAGAAATGTCACCAAACCTGAAGAGAGAAGAGAGGGGATAAAAGTTGAGATGTCTGCTGGCAATCCAGGAAATACTGTTATATATTGTGCATTCATTTAATTCTTCTCAGACAAATGCCTCTAAGTCGTCAGGAGAAAAGACATTCTGCTCAGGAGCCTGAATCCAATGACACAAAACGTGCCACTGTATTAGGCATCCTGAAACAGGGGATGCCTAGTCAGACTCGTCATCGATCATCACTGAAGCAATTAATTCAGCACAAATTAAAGGATCACATTCTTGAAGATACAGAACATGAAATGACAATACAAATACAAATGGCAGCAATTGCCCTCCCCCCCCACCATATACAAATAAAACCTGACTCATTTATTCCCTCCTACGAAAAATGTGCACATCAAGCAGAGGCATCACTGCATATCACCACCACTACCTCTGTGGCTCACACACTTCCTTATGCATTCACACCAAGTGAAACCTATGGCCAGATTGGTTTAAATCACACACCGAGGTTTAAACTGGATTAACAAAGGTGGACTAGATATAAATAAGAGCTTTGGTGTCACAGATGGTTAATACAAAGTTCTTCAATAAAAGAACACTCACCTGTTATGCTGTGGGAACTGGCCCAGGCTGCTGAATAACAGGTTGCTCCGGTTTGCCTCCCTTTTGCTCAGAAATTGGTGTTGTGGGCAGGATCTCATCTTTGGGTTCCACAATACTGACATGGTCAGGCAGAGGCTTCTTGGGGCCGATCTTGCCACTTGGATCCCATGGCAACATGATCTTAACCTTAATTCCCAGTACACCTATGAAGCAAAGATTCAGCCCATTAGGTACTAAAACTCAGCAATACATAACAATTTTACATTTACAACATTTACATAGATAGCACCCTTCAGACGGGGTAGCTTCAAAATTCTTCTCAGACAAATGCCTCTAAGTCGTCAGGAGAAGACATTCTGCTCAGGAGCCTGAATCCAATGACACAAAACGTGCCACTGTATTAGGCATCCTGAAACAGGGGATGCCTAGTCAGACTCGTCATCGATCATCACTGAAGGAATTCAATCAGCACAAATTAAGAAGTCACATTCTTGAAGATACAAGAACATAAACTGACAATACAAACTGCAGCAACTGCCCTCCCCCATATACAAATAAGCCGACTCAAGCCTACATACTGACATTCAGCAACCAGAGTTTTCACTATACAATAATAATCCTGGTTTCAATAAAACAAGGATTATATGACGCCTTATCACATCTTTTGAGACGTTTCAAAGCACGTCACAGAATATACTGTTGTGAATTGACTGTATATTTTGTGGACAAAATGCGGCAGCCAACTGGGCACAGTTGTGTCCCACGAACAGTCGTGGATTGAAGTGACCAATTTATTATTTTTTTACAATAAAACCATTGAATTAATCCTTTATTTTAAAAAGTGCTTCAATAATTCAGTTTGGGAATAAGCAGTTTAGAACACATATTCAGATTGGAATTTGGTACTCCAGCATTGTAACAAGCATTTGTGAAGACATTTATTGAAACTGTGATGTTTAAGCACAGAGGGGACTCTGGTGAAAGTTAACAGTTGCAATTGCCCTGCAATTTCACTTACTCCCATAGTTTTAGTGACACCATGTAGCTCACCTTGTCTCAGCAACACATGACGCACAGCTGTATCAACATAGTAGTTGACTGGATCACCACTGTGGATCATCAGACCATCCACAAACTTCATGGACTTGGCTCTCTGGCCTCTGAGTTTTCCAGAGACCACGACTTCGCAGCCCTTGGCCCCACTCTCCATAATGAAGCGGAGAACACCATAACAGGCCCTGAGAGAAAAAAANTAACTCTGAATTTCTTAATAAAAAATAGGACAGGAGGTGATTCGGTCCGTCATGCCTGATGGGAGAAGTCCATTAACATGCTTCTAGGAACATGGATCATTACCTAAAGTTTTCTCAAAGCAGCAACTTCCATTCAGAACCTCAATTAAATTTTGGTGTAATCACCTGTACTTTTATGTACCAATCATACTAAAACAAAAGCAGTTAGCATTGTAGTTTTTTNATAGCTTCACAAATAATGTTAAACAGCAACTGTTCAGAATCCAAGCTGCAATATAAGAAATAATTAAATAGAAAAACAAGACAATGGGCCTTACCTACGCACAGCCAGCCCTCCTAGCAGCTTGTAACGCAGAGATTCTGCCTGGGCAATAGCACAAAGTCCTCGAGTGGCAACCTTTTCAGCATAGAGCTGGGAACCAAGACGGAGAGAAATTAGCACAGCATGGAAAGAATTCATTAAAAAGTCAAGATTCTTTTGCAGCTATATAGAAATAGAAATAAGTGATTCAGCTGTTGTGTGGCACCTTATAGATCAAAGAACTTTTAATCCCATTTCCTTAATTCTCCTAATTTTCTGACTCGGCTTTCCCAGCAACACCATGAATCACATCTGCTGCCTTCTAATGCTTCACTATTATTCCCATTTTGGGAATGAGGTGGATAAATATTTGTTAGGTAAGGGTATCAAGCGATAAGGGCAGGCAATTGGAGTTGAGGTACAGAACATCCATTACCGTACAGAATGGTCGAACACGCTTGAGGGGCTGGATGGCCTACTCCTATGTTCTATTAATAAGGTGGGGTGGAAACCACCTGGGCCTAGAAATATGCATCGCACTTCAGTCCTAATATTTTTTTAAAGTTTCTGCAAGTTTCTTTTCTTCACTAACTTCTCGTCTTCCCTGTACTTCTGGTATTAAATCCTCCTTCTCCACTGTAAAGATGGAAGGAAAGCATTAATTTCTAACAATCCTCCTGTGGCCTCATCCTCCACTAGTGTCAAACCTAAATGAATTTGTGATGGTCTAATTCCTTTACTATTCTTCTGCTCAATGAACTTGGAAATTTTACTAATTTAGAATACCTTTACTTAGCATTAGGATAGCTAAACACAGGTTACAACGGAAAGACATATGGACAATTCTGAGGTCACTTCAAAACTCATCTGAAGTACTCACAATAAGGCCAACAGGATCCACAGTCCTCACACTTCACACAGGAGTTGGACAAGCCCTACAACCATGTGACAAACCATTCACTTTTTGAAGCTAAAGGACAATCTTTTCACAGCCAGCTTAGTTTCAAACATGAAACGCGTGAGGCTACATTATTTTGAACCTTCTCAGATAAATGCCTCAGATTCGTCAATGGAAAGACACTCTGTCCAGGAGTCTGAATCCAGGTGCACAGAACGTACAACCTGTCCTAGGAAACCTGATACAGAAAGTGCCCCATCAGACTCGTCATCAGTCATCATCACCGAAGTGGGTACACAGTATTTTTTGTAGTAGTAAAGAATAAAACACTGCCCCCCCCCCTCACCCCATTAGGTAGCCCACAAAAACTCACCATTTAGACTCACGAAGAACGGGCAAGTGTCAATAGCATTGCAGGACAGAGAGTATTCATTGTCACGAACCCCAGTTAATTTTCTCAGAACACTGCGGTGGTTGACATGAGTGGGAAATAAAACAAAAAACAACAATTTACCTCAACACTGCCTTCTGGGAAACCAAATCTCTTCTGAACAACAGCAGTGAGCTCACGGATTCGGCGGCCTTTCTCACCCAGCACATTCTGAGTCCTGGCGAACAATAATTGAAACGACGCTTTAATAAACCAGCAACAGATATCGTCTGGGAAGCTGAGAGAGGGAAGTGGGACGTGCTTGGCGACTGTACATCGGAATCGAGTCAGCCCTCCGAAGAAGGCTCAGTTGTCGGGTTCCCAATCCAGGTTGGTCCACAGAACCTCAGGGCGCTGATGACAGCCGAGCTCATCGGTACGCCTTGGGAGAGGTATTGGGAAGAGCGATTCTCCCCACTCTATTAATCTCACATTTACGCTCTCCCCATACCGTTTTTCAAGAGTCCTGCTGTACAGCAGGAGGCCACCTGTCCCATAATATCTGGCTCCCCCGTTGAAACTGATTCGCCTTCGCCTCAACCCGCTGCTCTTGGCCAAACCGCTTTTAAATGCGACGTCCGTTTTTTTTAAAAAAAAAGACAAAATTCAGCTTCCGCCAATTCCCGTTTGAAGGAATCGACTGCCTCGGCTATTAACGTCGCTGCGTAAGGACTGCACGTCTTTTTAAAAAAAAAACTTTTCTTTCTCCCCCCACTCCCCCCCATCCGAACCCCCACCTCCCAACCCCCTTTTCTGGTAAAATAGGCTGGAGTTTGCAGGCGGTCAATTTTTGCACAAAGCGACGTCCCGCCGCCAGCCGTGAAGTGAGGGACCGATCTCGTCTGGAGTGGAGGGGGAGGGGGTTGGGGAGGGGGGGGGGTGGGGGGGGGGGGGGGGGGGGGGGGGGGGGGGGGGGGAGGGGGGGTTGGGGTGGAGGGGGGGTGGGGGGGGAGGGGGGGGGGGGGGGGGGTGGAGGGGTTGGGGTGGAAGGGGGTGGGGGGTTGGGGTGGGGGTTGGCCATAGCATCGGGAGAGAAAACTCCCCGTTACTGTCCTCCTCTTAAACCCAACGAAGCCCCTCTAACGCGAGCCTCTCGTCACCCCCCGCCCCGCGCGGCCTTCAGGCCTCACGGCTCCCCCGGTTAAACCCCTTTACCTGGTCGCCAGGATAATAATCTCGGTCCTCGTCGGCGTGACCCGCACCTCCACGCCGCTGTAGCCGTCCTCGGCCAACTCCCGGGTCAGGAACTCGTTCAGCTCGGCCTTGAAGATCCCGTCGGCCACGAACTGCGCGCGAAGAGAGAGAGAGAGAGAGAGTCAGCGCCATTAGCATCGGACAATCCGAGTCAATCCTCCGCGCCTCTCCCCGGGCCGGGCCCGACTCGGGCGCACGATCACTCCCGACGCACTCGCCTACACATCCCGCCCAGTATTTGTGGCGCACGTCGCCGGCGGCCGCTCTCCCCGCCTCACCTTTCGCTTCTTGGATATCTGAGCCGCCATCTTGCTCCGCGGGGGCTGAGCGAAAAGAGAGAGCCGGACTCGCCGGAAGCCACTTAATGGCAGCGTCGCTTCCGCTCAGGCCGCGCTCTCCACCAATGGGAGAGGGACCCGCGCCGGAAGTGACCGCGACGGCCGCTGGGAGATGTAGTTTTGTTTCCCCGTCGCGGGCCCATTTCCCCCTCTCCAGACCGCACGTGGCCCGATTGGGCGGGTTTCACGCCCGATTGGGCGGTTTTTTGTGGCACTGTGCCTGAAATAAACATTTTGGGCGGCTGACTAATTTTTGATTTTTTTTAACTGGAAGCTCCAAAAGTTTTTTTTTTCTTTTGAAATACTTTTCTTACAGTTTCAAGAGCACGAGCGTAAATTGACCACTCTGCTACCCATTAGCAGGCAAGGCATAATATTGGGCTAGTTTCGGTTGTCTTCGGGCTACAAAAGTATTTCACTTGCTGTCCACCTTGCCCTTGATGCTCGAAGAGATTAACAGCGACGGCGCTTGACGCCAAGCCTGGCAGATGACCACAACACTGTCGAAGAGGAAGATCTTCTGGTGCGATCTAAACACCATAGAAGAATAGAAATGTACCAGTTAGTATTCAACTTATGATATACTTTGGATTCTGGGAATCGAGCCTGCCCCGCCATTCACTCACGGCTTGATCTTCTAATCTACTCCAGCTAAAACCATAACCCTGCCTTATCCTCATATCCCTTAATCCCTTTTGCAATAAGAAATCTATCTATCTCAGTCTTGAATATGTTCAAGAACTGAGCGCCAACAGCCCTTTGGGGTAGTGAGTTCCATACATTTACCACCCTAACAACAACAACAAACAACAAGTCACATTCATATAGCGGCTTTCACATCAGGAGGACGTCCCAAGACGCTGGACAGTCAGGGATCCGCACCTGAAAAAACTCGTATTGAACAATAATCCTTGCATTTAATATATGGTCCTTTGTCATGGCTTCGAGAGGTGCCACCTGTTGGTAGAAGGGAACATTTTTAATAAAATAATCATTGTTGCATTTGATATTTATTTCATCTTTGAAATCTCTCAAAGTACCTCAGGATTTTATTGTGAAGTGGGTATTTGTGAGCAAAAGCAGTCTCGGGTTACCTGTGAGACAATGCCAGCAATGATGATGACTGTATCACAAGGGTGGAGCCAGAAGTTAGTGGAGTCCTGTAGCCCAGTGGTTAGAGCATTCGCCTTGCAAGCGAGAGGACCTTCGTTCAATTGGCGGCAGGGCGAAACATTGGGCAATTTCCTTAAAGTTTGGTTTCTCTCACCCAGCTATTGTTAGAAGAGGTGGGAGATAGTACCTCGGATGGTCTGAAAATGCTTGTAGGCTCTCTTATACCCCAGGCACTTCACACTTCTGGAGTGAGTTGATATTGAAAAGAAATATTCTTACATTGATATGGACGGGACAGTCAATTTGCGCACAGCAAAGGGCTCACAAACAGCGACAACAGCAACAACAACAACAACAAGATTCCATTCATTGAGCGCCTTTCACGTCGGGAGGACGTCCCAAGGCGCTGTACAGTTGGGTCAGGACCCGAGCATTGGGGGGAAATGGTAAGGGTGAGGGGAGGGAAGGGAGGGAGCGAGGAGGTGGTAGAGAGTCGAGAGGGGAGCTGAAGGCACGGTCAAAGAGAAAGGTCTTGAGACCGGCCTTGAAGGAGGAAAGGGAGGAGGCGGCGAAGGCACTGGGGGATAGAGTTCCAGAGCCTCGGGGCTGAGAGGCTGAAGGCCCGGCCACCGATGGTAGGGCGGTTGGGGCGGGGGATGTGGAGCAGACCGGAGCCAGAGGAACGGAGGGTACGGGCGGGTAGGTAGGGGGATAGTAGGTCGGAGAGGTAGGAGGGAGCGAGGCCGTGAATGGCCTTGTAGGTGAGGATGAGGATCTTGAATTCGATCCTCTGGGGGATGGGGAGCCAGTGGAGGCGAGCGAGGGTGGGAGTGATGTGGTCGCGAAGCCTGGTGCGGGACAGTACACGAGCTGCAGAGTTCTGAATGACCTGCAGCTTGTGGAGGGAGGTGCCGGGAAGGCCGGCGAGGAGAGAGTTCCCATAGTCCAGCCTTGAGGTGATAAAGGCGTGGACCAGAGTTTCAGCAGCGTGAGGGGTGAGGTAGTGCCGTAGTCTGGCGACATTCCGGAGGTGATGGAAGGCGGTGCCAGTTGTGGTGCGGATATGGGGGAGAAAGGACAGCTCAGGGTCGAACAGAACCCGAGGTTCCTGACTGGCTTTGAGAGGTGGAGAGTGCAGCCTTGGATGCTGATGCTGTCAGCGCCTGAGGTGCGGAGGCGCTGACGTGAGCCAATCAGGAGGGCCTCAGTTTTGCGCACGTTGAGCTGGAGAAAGTTATCTCTCGTCCAGGACTCGATGTCGGACAGGCAGCTGTCAGGACATCGGTGGTCGTGGAGTTGAGGGTAGAGGAGGAAAGGTAGAGTTGGGTGTCATCCGCATACATGTGGAAGTTAACCCCATGTCTGCGGATGATGTCACCAAGGGGGAGCATATAGAGGGTGAAGAGGAGGGGACCGAGGACAGAGCCTTGAGGGACACCGCACGAGACAGTGCGGGGGGTGGAGGAAAAACCATTTGTGGAGACAAAGTGAAGACGGTGGGAGAGGTACGACCTAAACCACTCAAGGACAGGGCCTTGAAGGTTTAGGTGGGAGGACAAGCGGTGGAGGAGGATAGCGTGGTCGACCGTATCGAATGCTGCCGATAGGTCGAGGAGGACGAGGAGGCAGAGGGAGCCCTGGTCACAGATGGTCAGGATGTCATTGGTGACCTTGACCAGGGCAGTTTCTGTGCTATGGGCAGCACGGAAACCCGATTGAAGGGGTTCGAATAGTGAATGGGTGGAGAGGAAAGAGCGCAGCTGGGAGGCGACAACTCGTTCCAGGACCTTGGATAGGAAGGGGAGGTTGGAGATGGGCCGGTAGCTTGATAGCTGCGACGCATCAAGGGAGGGTTTTTTTAAGGTGGGAGTGATGGTGGCAGTTTTTAAGGGAATGGGAATAGAGCCAGAGGAGAGGGACAGGTTGACGATGTCTGTGATATGTGGGGCAAGGAGGTGGAGCTGGGAGATAAGGAGTGGAGTGGGGATGGGGTCAAGGGAGCAGGTGATAGGTTTCAGGGAGAGGATGTGTTTGGTGACAGAGGATGGGGAAACGGGTATGAAGGTGCGTAGGGGAGGATGGGTAGGAGTCGGAGTGTGGGAGGGAAGGAGTGGGTGGTGGGTGGATGTTGGAGGGGAAGTGACCGCGGAGCGGATTCCCTTGATCTTGGATTCAAGGAAATCCAGCATCTCCTCGCAGTGAAGGTTGGAGGAGATGACCTGCGCGGGGTGGCGGGGGGGACGGAGGAGTTGGGATGTGGTAGAGAACAGTATTGGTGCAAACTATGCAGTGTCACTGAATCAATTACATCAAAAAAATAATTTTTAGCACCTAATCACACTGAACTATCTCAAAGTGCTTCTAAAGCATTTTTTTAACCGATGGTTTGTACTTTGTACTACACTAATGCCCTCCTCGCCGGTCTCTGATCCACTACCATCCATAAAATCCAAATCATTCAAAACTCTGACGCTTGCATTCTCACCCGCACAAAAGTCCATCCCCGGTTACCCCAGTCCTTGCCAGACTGCACTGGTGCCTATCCCAGAGACGATCAATTTCAAGATCCTCACCCTTGCATTCAAGTCCCTGCATCCCTCTGCACCCCCCTATCTCTCTGACCTCCTCTCTCCTCAAAACAGTACCAGTTGCCTCCGTTCTTCAGGGTCTGGCCTCCTCCTCGTCCCCCCGAGTTCTCCGCTCCACCCTCGGCAGCCACTATGCCCAGAGGCTCTGGAGCTGCCTTCCTCACTCCCTTCGTCTCGCTCCCTCCCTTCACATTTTCAGATTTCTGCTGAAAACCTTTCTTTTCAACTGTGCCTTTGGTCACCTTCCTCCCCCTCCCCCTCCCCGTGGCTCGGCCCTGAGATCCATAACTGTAAAGCGCTCTGAGAAGACTTTGGGCGTGGAGGGCGCTATATAAATCCAAGTTGTTGTTGTTGTTGATTGTCATTTATTTCCTTTCAATCTCTGCTTTTAGTACATCCATTTATTGTCTTAGCAAGCAACCTTTGCTCCACACTCCTGTTACAGTACAGAACTTCTCTTTGACATTTTAATCCTCCGTTCACAAGACTACCTGCTTTTCCAATCATCTCCACTTGTTCAACTCGGCCACAGAACTGATTCACAGCTTAAATATAAACAAACCTTGTATTTGAAATAGTGCCTTCTCCTGTTGTCAATATGTCTGAAAACTCTTCACGGTATTTTACTGTACAGCAGGGTAGCCCAACCTTTTGGCTGTTGAGGACCCGATGCCAGATTTGAGAATGTCCGTGGGCCACAAAAGCAATATTTTTGTGTCTCCCTTCCAGAAACTAATAATATTCACACAGTGCCTTTTCTCACATCGGAAGGACGTTTCAAAGTACTCAGCACTGCTGTCCGTGCACCCGAGCTGGGGCTGGGAGCTGAGGGAGGTGAAAAGATGACCGACAGTGCGGTCAAACACTTGACCTGCCTCAAAGAGGGGAGGGAAAGAGGGAGTGAGATGCTGTTGGCTCACTATCTGGCAAGCAGCCAATTGCAATAATGGGGGGAGAGTGCACTATTTGGCAGTCTTTGATCTCGCGAGATCAGGGGGTTAAAGGAGTCAATTTTCCAGTGCAAGAGGCATGTAGAATTCCTTGCGAGACAATAACAACAACAACTTGCATTTAGATAGTGCCCCTCAAGCAGGCTAACGTCCCAGAGCAATTAATACTCATGCTAGAAATGGTTTAAAACAGATTGCTTTCTTTATTAATCCAAAATAATGGTAAAACCTCAATCGAAGTACAGTACAATCAAAAATAGTAATGCCAGTTCTATGTTATTAGAGCATAATATAGCGAGTAACTTAGAGATTGTGAAGGGATCGATTCCCGTCTCTGGTAAGGGAAGGGAAGAGGAGGGTCTTGAAATGGGCCTTCAAGGAGGCAATGGAGGGGGCGAGGTGAGGGGACTGTGGGATGGAGTTTAAAAGGGTGTGGGCAGAAAGACTGAAGGACCGACCTCCGATAGTGGAATGTGCCGGGCAGAGGATGTGGATCAGGACAGAACCTGACAGGTTGATATGGGGTTAGCAAGTCACAGAGGTAGGCAGAAGCAAGGTCGTGGAGTGCTATAAAGGTGCAGACGAGGATTTTTAACTCTATTCTTTAGGGGCTGGGGAACCAGTGTAGCCGGGCGACGGTGGGGATAATAGGGTTGCGGAGCCTGGTGCGGGAGAGGACATGAGCTGCAGAGTTCTGAATGATCTGCAGCTTGTGGAGGGAAGAGTTAGGAGAACTGTAAAGCAGGGAGTAGGCGAAGTCGAGCCTTGATGTGATCAATGTGTGGATGAGGGTCTCGGCAGCTTAAGGGCAGAGGCAGTGGAGGAGGTGGGCGATGTTGCGGAGGTCGAGAACAGCAGAGAGGGTCATGGCGGTAGAAAGGACAGTTGGGGGTCAAACAAGACCCCAAGGTTCCAGACTGGCTTAGCACGGTGGAGTGTGCACCATGGATGGTGATGCTGTCAGCGCCTGAGGTGAGGAGGCGCTGACGGGAGCCAATCAGGAGAGCCTCGGTCTTGTGACGTTCAACTGAAGACAGTTAGTTCTCATCCAGGTCTTGATGTCTGACAGATTAACCTTTGGGGGTGCGTTGAGGAGAGGGGATCAGCCTCTGTGGTCTCCCCTACTTCTTGGCCTGCAGTGCACTCTCCAGATTTTTCCAATGCTCCAAAGCCACTGAGTGACGGGTGTCAGCTCTGCCCTCGCTCCGAGCGTTCCAGTACTCATTCTCCCTGCGCTTCACCACCTTCGTCGCCAACTCTCTGAGATCGGCCACAGGCAAACCCTTTTCTCCATTCCGAATCAGGCCCTCAATCTCCTCCAAGGTGTTGATGTAGCCGATATGTTTGTTCCAGACCATGGTCCAATTCTCGTTCTCATTCTTCAAGTTGGCTCTTTTCGATGCTTTCTCCCAGCGCTTCAGGATCCCTTTGAAGCGAGGTTTTTTGTCAATCGCCTCGAAGAACATTTGGAAGAACTGGTTGTCGTCCCAGTGACGGTCTTGGCGCCCGTCCAGCACGTCCTCGGACACTTCTGAACTGTGGAACTCTGTGACACTCATGACACAGGCAATTCTGGCCGCCTCCTCGTGCACAACGCTCTCCAGACCCTCATTGTCGCGGTCAGATTTCTTGCTGCCGCAGCACCCCATGGTGTCTGATGACTGGGCTCCGCTTCCTGGGCTCACACACACCTCTTTCCCAACGTGGCTGTCAGGGGTTCGCCTTGGGACGTCCTCCTGATGTGAAAAGCGCTGTACAAATGCAAGTCGTTATAGCAACACGGCACTTGGTGTCTGTCCTCGGTTCCCCTGCCCACCACGGAGGCCAATAGTGAACCAGGAAATGCTGATAGTGAACCAGGAAAGGCAATGAAACAGGAAACACTGGTCTCACTCCTCCTCTCTGTCTCTCTCGTCTCCCTAACTCTCTCACTCTTGTTCTTTCTCCTTTTCTTTTTCTCTCTCTCTTCTCTATCCCCCTCTCTCAGTGTTTCTCTTCTCTCCCCTTTCTTTCACTCTCCCTCTCTCTCTGTTTCTCCCCCTCTCACTCATCAACAACAAATCGTTCTTGAGAAATAGTTTTGATTTCTCTAGCTGGCGATGGGACAACAATATTCTGCCTCACCCTCTTTTACTTCCTCTTTCTCTGTTTTCCTCTCTCACACACACTCTCTGACCTCACACTCCCTCTCTCACTGATCAGCAAAGACACTTCTATCTCTCTCCCCTCCCTCCACGGAAGAAATGAGTGGGTGTGTGTGAGAGAGACAGGAGAGAGAGAGACACACCCTACTCAAACAAGCAGCTATTTTCGCCAAATGTTGTCCTTGACCTGTGAAGCATTTTGAGACATTCGAGAAGACGTGAAAAGCGCTATATTAAATGCAAGGATTATTATTATTATAATTGGTCCATGCTATGCTTCATTTAAGAGAACTTAAGACTAGAATCATAGAATCTTACAGCACAGAAGGAGGCCATTCGGCTCATCATGCCTGTGCCGGCTCTTTGAAAGAGTTGCCAATTGGTCCCACTCGCCCGCTCTTACCCCATAGGCCTGCAATTTTTACCTATTCTAGTACCTTACCAATTCCCTTTTGCAAGTTACTATTGATCCTGCTTCCACCAGCCTTTCAGGCAGTGCATTCCAAACCGTAACAACTCGACGCGTAAAAAACATTATCTTCGCCTCCCCTCTGGTTCTTTTGCCAATTATCTTAAATCTATGTCCTCTGATTACAGACCCACCCGCCAGAGGAAACAGTTTCTCCCTAACTATTATATCAAAGCGGTTTTATGCAGTTTTCGCTGGTGAGACTCCAGCAGTACCACAACGCACACTCTGGGGTCCCCAAGCTTTTGCTCCAGCCAACCTGTACCTAACAGCTTGTGGAGTCCTGTACTTATTGGTTAGAGCACTCGCCTTGTAAGCAAGAGGCCCTTGGTTCGATTCCTGGGCTGGGTGAAACCTTAGGCAAGTTTCCTTACGCCACATGCCTCTGTTTACCTACAGTCTGTAGGAACCCAGTTGTTAGTTGATTGGCAGTTTGTTTTTTGGGGAAATAATCCCTCCAAAATTTCTATGAATTAAAATAACAATTTGTTCACTCAATCCACCATTGTTTGTAGGACACTGCTGTGAGCAATTGGCTGCCGCGTTTCACCCACAGAATATACAGTCAATTCACTTTATCATACGATATATTCTGTGAAGCGCTTTGAGATGTCTCAATGATGTGATAAGGCGCTATACCAAATGCAAGGATTATTATTATAATTCTTTCCAGCATTAGGTAAGCAGGATGTGTCCCCCCTGGGAGAGAGTGCGCATTCCATTCCAACAATCTATCTCGGGAATTTCCATGTGTAGGTAGGAAGCATGGAATTCTCGGTTTGGTTTGGATACTCTTAAGCACGGCTCCAAAAAACACATTTGATTCTGTGAAGTTGTTTATTATAATGTTTTGATTGCATTTATGTATTTTGCTTTTAATGGCAGGTGTTTAACGTTTGTACTCCTATATCTTTTTAATTGAAATTCTTCTGAGAACGTTTCTAACCTTGATACGAATGAATACTGTAGCAGTGTCTGTTTTTTCTTTATCTGCTGTTTTTGTGTAGCTTTGTAGAGATGTGTGACTAGAGGGGCTTTGGCATCCAGATGTGGGAGTGTGTTGGAGTAGTCTCAAGCTCTGAAACTCTGAGAAACAGACTGTTGTAGCAGGGAGTGTGAGCAGAGTGAGTTGTTTGAAGTCTTTGTTCTCGTAAGTGAAGCATAGCATGGGTTAATGGTCAAGGACAACATTTGATGAAGAGAATAATAATACTCCTTGCATTTGATATAGGGCCTTATAATGTCTTCGAGACATCTCAAAGCACTGCACAGAATATACTGTGAAATGAATTGACTGTATATTACGTGGGCGAAATGCGGCCGCTAATTGTGCTGAGCAGTGTCCCACAAACACTCATGGATTGAGTAAACAAATTATTATTATTATTTTATTTATTTTTTTGAAGGGGTTATTATCCCCGGAAAAGCAATCTGCCAATCGACTAACAACTGGGGTCCTACTTACTGCTAGGCAAACAGAGGCGTGTGGAGTAAGGAAACTTGCCTAACATTTTGCCCTGCCGGGAATCAAACCCAAGTTCTCTTACTTGCGAGGCGAGTGCTTTAACCAATACGCTACAAATAATTGCTTGCAACTCCACAATTGGACTCCACAAACAGTTGCTTGTAAGAGAAGTGTGGCAGATAAAAATTGACCCACCTCTTCGACTTTGCTTTCGATTTCCCTGCTTCCCCCCCGCCTGCCCTCCACCCTCCACCACCCCAATCCCCAGCTCGGGTCCGTAACTCTGTCTGTCCAGCGCTTTGGGACGTCCTCCCGACGTGAAAGGTGCTATGCAAATGTAATTTTGTTGTTGTTGTTGTTTCTCTGAGTCACTCCCTCCCCCATCTCTTACCCTCTCCCGCCTCTCATACACACCCACACTTTATAATAATAATCCTGGCATTTGATATAGCGCCTTATCATGTCTTTGAGACGTCTGAAAGCGCTTCACAGAATATACTGTAAAGTGAATTGAATGTATATTTTGTGGGCGAAACGTCTCAACCAATTGTGCCCAGCGGTGTCCCACATACAGTTGTGGATTAAATGATCAATTTATTATTTTTTTCTGAAGGAATTATTATCCCCGGAAAAGCGATTCGCCAATCGACTGGTAGCTGGGTTCCTGCTTGCTGCTGGGTAAACAAAAGTGTGTAGAGTTACGAAGCTTGTCCCAATGTTTCTCACGGCCCGGGGATTGAACCCAGATCTCTCGCTTGCGAGGAGAGTGCGACAACCACTGAGCTACAAGGACTCCACTTTCTGGAGTGACTTTCTGTCAATCACTCTCTTTCTGTCAATCTGTGTCTTTCTCTCTCTCTCACACACACACACACAGTCTCAACCCCTCTCTCTCTCACACACACACACACACACACAGTCTCACCCCCCCCTCTCTCTCTCTCTCACACACACACAGTCTCACCCCCCCCCCTCTCTCTCTCTCAGTCTCAACCTCTCTCTCTCACCCTCTCTCTCTCTCACACTCTCCCTCTCACCCCCTCTGTCTCTCACCCTCTCTCTCTCTCACACACACACAGTCTCACCCTCTTTCTCTCAGTCTCACCCCCTCTCAGTCTCACCCTCTCTCTCTCTCAGTCTCACCCTCTCTCTCTCTCTCTCTCTCTCTCAGTCTCACCCCCTCTCTCACAGTCTCACCCTCTCTCTCAGTCTCACCCTCTCTCTCTCTCTCACCCTCTCTCTCTCACAGTCTCACCCTCTCTCTCTCTCTCACCCTCTCTCTCTCACAGTTTCACCCTCTCTCTCACCCTCTCTCTCTCACACACACAGTCTCACCCCCTCTCTCTCACAGTCTCACCCCTTCTCTCTCTGTCTCACCCCCTCTCTCTCACACAGTCTCACCCCCCCCCCCCCTCCCCCCTCTCTCTCTCATACAGATTCGGTTTCGTAACGTCGGTTTGGGAAACGAAACTAATTGTGGAAGAGATTTACTCAGTGTTGTCAGTGTTGTCAGTACCCAAAATCGAAATCGCCTGTACATTCTCGAGAAGGTTTCTGTGTTGATGTTATTATCCTTCCACTTGATCAGAGAGTGAGGAGAGAGAGGAGAGAATGAGAGGAGAAAGAGACAGATTCCCCATCGCCGGAATCAAAGCTGTTCCTTGAGGTTTCGTTGTTGATCAAATAAGAGTGAGAGAGTGAGAGAGAGAGGAGAGAGTGAGAGAGAGAGGAGAGAGGAGAGAGGGACTGACATAGAGTGAGACAGAGGAGACAGAAGAGAGTGAGAGACAGAGAGAGGGACTGACATAGAGTGAGACAGAGGAGAGAGAAGAGAGAGAGAGGGACTGACATAGAGTGAGACAGAGGAGAGAGAAGAGAGAGTGAGAGAGAGAGAGAGAGAGAGGGACTGACATAGAGTGAGACAGAGGAGAGAGAAGAGAGAGTGAGAGAGAGAGAGAGAGGGACTGACATAGAGTGAGACAGAGGAGAGAGAAGAGAGAGTGAGAGAGAGAGAGAGAGAGAGAGGGACTGACATAGAGTGAGACAGGAGCGAGAAGAGTGAGAGAGAGGAGAGAGAGGGACTGACATAGTGAGACAGAGGAGAGAGAGTGTGAGAGAGTGAGAGAGAGGAGAGAGAGGGACTGACAGAGTGAGACAGAGGAGAGAGAAGAGAGTGGGAGAGAGAGAGTGAGAGAGAGAAGGTGAGAGAGGGAGAGGGGAAAGAATAGAGTAAGAGTTGAGGAGTGAGAGAAAACACAGTGAGAGAGAGAGAGAGAGGGTGAAGGATAGAGGGGGAGGAGGGGACAGAGAGTGTGTGAGAGTGGGGAGATTCCCAATTCACTGTCAGGACAGACGTTTGTGGTGGCGGGAGTGTGTGGGGGGAGACTGAGGACAGACACCGAGCTCCGTGTCGCTGGTGAGACGACCAGCGCCTTGGGACGTCCTCCTGACGTGAAAGGCGCTCTATAAATGGAATCTTGTTGTTGTTGTTGTTGTATAGCGCTCGTCACGACAGGAGGACGTCCCGCGGCAAGACCCTGACAGCCGCGTTGGGAGAGGGGTGTGCGTGAGCCCCAGACGCGGAGCCCAGCCAGCCTGAAACCATGGGGTGCTGCGGCAGCAAGGATTCCGACAACGATGATGTTCCGGACAGAGTTGTGGTGAACCAGGGGGTCCACAGACAAGCCGTTGTCCCGAGAAACAGCGGAGTTCAGACCCGTCAGGTGGCCTCGAGAAGTGGCTTTGGCCCGAGAATCGGAGAGGTGAAGGTGAAGAAGGTGCGGTCCGCAGTTGCCGCTGCCTCTGCCTCTGCCACTGTACCAAAACCCGGAAGAGTTCAGGCGCACGATGTGGCACCTCCAACTGCCTTTGCCAAGATATTCTCTGCGTTCGTGGATAGAGAGTTACCTCAGGATGAGCTGGACGGGCGTGGAGGTCGTCACTGGGAGGAGAACCAGTTCTTCCAAATCTTCTTCTCGGCGATGGACAATAAAGCCGGCTTCAAGGGGATCCTGAGGCGCTGGGAGAAGGCGTTGCAAGAGACCGTGGATTCGGGGGAAAACGTGAAATGGCCCAAGATCTGGCTGAAAAAGGGCGGCTACATCACCACCTTGCAGCGGATCCAGGGCCTGATCCAGAGAGGAGACAAGAGTTTGCCTATGGCCAAGCTCAGAGAGTGGGCCACGAAGGTGGTGAACCGCAGGAAGCAGGAGTACCAGAAGGCTCAGGGCCGGCACAAAGCCGACTCCAACCACCTCAAGGCTTTGGAGACTTGGAAACAGCTGGACAGAGCACTGCAGGCCCAGGGGTAAGGGAAGTCACATAGGCTGATCCCCTCCCCCCATCTCACCCACTGTCCAGAGGGCCTGTTGGTGATGATTGTTTTATGGTACATTATGTGGTTTTAGCTGGTTTAGAGTCCAACTATTATCCTTATCGCAGGATTATCCAATATGTTAGCCACGAACCACATGTGGCGAATTGGGAATCCAGATGCGAATGAAATTCCATTTTGCTTTGACAGTAAAAGTGTAATTCACACTATCAGTTGGGCATGTGATCTCAATCCGCGTAATCCCATGTGAACTTTAAGCTGTGTATTTGTTAATAAAATGTTAGTACGAAAAGCAGGGTGTGTGCATGTTTTTTTTATTGTTGCGTGAGCTCTACTTCCTCAGACGCCTTATGGGTTATCTGCTAAAATTTGTGCATAACACAGGTGCAAAATGCTGCATGTTGCGCGTGTCGCGAAAGGAAAACAGATGTTTGTTCATTAAATAATAATCCTTGCATTTGATATCGTGCCTTAGCATGTTATTGAGACCATATGAGGGAGCCAAAGTATTATTAGTTTGAATTATAAACCTCATAAGTAAACAAGAAGCAGGAAAATATAATAGTAATAATCCTTGCATTTGATATGGCACCTTATCACTTTGTTGAAATATCTCAAAGCACTTCACAGAATATATTGTAGAACCTCACTGAACGTCTCACTTAAGTCGCTTTATAAATCGAATCTTGTTGTTGTTGTTGTTGTTGTCTTCTCGACCTGAAAGGCGCTCTATAAATGTATTTTTTTTGTTGTGACCTGATTACTGAAACAGGTTGGGTGATTCAGGTCACTGATATAATGTTTTGCACATTGATAATGGGTAAGGGTGATGTACATTCAACGACCATACTTTGCAATACAAATTTAAAAAAAAGGCATTGTCACATTTAAAATAGATCTTAGGTTTATTATTTAAGGTTCACGTGAAAAGTTAAAATCACACAAAATGTTCATCTCTTGAATAAAGTGTCCAGCACTGTTTGGCTGATTTAACCTGCGCTGCCTTGGCCTGGAGCTGATCCTCAGCATCAGCCAAAGTCTGCCATACTTTGTGTCAATGTTCAAGGCAAAAGTCCTTCACTTGTCACAACAAAACCAGTGCATCAGCATAAGTGAGAGGGGGCTTTTATATTTGCACACTTCAATTCACCAAGCCAGTCAGGAACCTCGGTGTCTTGTTCGACCCTCAACTGTTTTTTTCTTCCCCACATCCAAGCCACGACTCTCTCTGCCTCCCTCACCTCCATAACATCTCCCGACTCCGCCACTACCTCACCCCTCAGGCCGCTGAAACTCTTGTTCATGCCTTCATCACCTCCAGGCTCGACTATGCAAATACCCTGCTTGTCGGCCTTCCCAACTCCTCCCTCCACAGCTGCAGATAATCCAGAACTCTGCAGCCCGTGTCCTCTCCTGCACCAAACTCCGTGACACCATCTCCCCCAATCTCGCCCGACTCCATTGGTTCCCTATCCTTCAGAGGATCCAGTTCAAGATCCTGGTCCTCAACTACAAAGCCCTCCATGGCCTCGCCCCACCCTACCTCTGTGACCTCCTAAACCCCTACCAACCCGCCCGCTCCCTCTGCTCAGCCGGCTCTGACCTGCTCCACGTCCCCCGACCCACCCGCTCCACCATTGGTGGGAGAGCCTTCAGCCACTCTGCCCCCAACCTCTGGAATTCCATCCCCCAATCACTCCACCTCGCCCCCTCCTTAGCCTCCTTCAAGTCCTGCCTCAAAACCCTCCTCCTATGCCATCAGTCACCCCCCCTTCCCCTCCCCTCCTTTCTCCCCAGCTCGGGTCTGAAATGCTGTACACTGTCTAGCGCCTTGGGACGTCCTCCTGACGTGAAAGGCGCTATACAAATGTAATCTTGTTGTTGTTGATGTAGGTTGCTGTTCCTGTTCCTTCTCTTGTGTGTCTTGTTCCTCAGTGTCCCTGGTAGACACTCCTCCACTAGACGCTTCTCCTGTCCCTTATTCAAGTCCTCAGTGGAGGGGACATCACTGTCGATGGTTGTATACTCCTCGGCACTGAGGATACGGGTGTCTAATGACAGGCACTGACTGGCCTGAGACAACCACTGGGCAAATGGCACATCATTATCAGGGTTTTCCTCCACAGGCTCATCCACACGAAAGCCAGCCTTGGCAAAGCACTTCTGCACTGTTGATCTACGCACCATATTGACTGCTGAATGAATCCAGGTGACTGCATGAAGAACATTCATGGATTTGGCCACTTGTGAAGCCTGCACACTTTTGACCATCTCTCCAAGAACCATGCGTAGGAGTCTCATCCTGTAGTGCATCTTGACATTCTTGATGATACCAAGGGGCTAGAGAATGGATGTGGTGGTAGCTGGAAAAACACTAACTTGACTTTGCTTAAGAGTAGAAATGATGTGAGGGTGAGCTGGGCATTGTCCAGAAACAGCAGCACACGCCTGCCCTGTTCCCACATGAAGGTCTGAAGCCACTCTGTAAAAATGGCACTTGTCATCCATGCCTTTTTGTTGCTGTACCATTTGACGGGAAGCTGAATCTTGATGTTCAAATTCCTAAAGGCATGGGGCTTGGCAACCTTCCCTATCACAATTGCCCATTCAAAATCTCCCTCCATGTTGACTCAAAGACATGGTGATGAGGTCTTTGGATTTCTTCCCACCAGTACCGCCATCACCACAAACTGCAAGGCTCCTGTCATGGAGAGCCCTAAAAACAACCAGATTCATCCATGTTAAAGATATCCTTGGGTGCAGAGCCAGCTGTCTCAGGGAGTTTCTCCTTCCAGTTGCCAACAATAGCAGGCCAAACGTCTCCCAGCACACCAGCACACAATTGCAGACCCAATGTTGTGCTTGGACGTGAAATAGCCAAGCCAGCCATTTGATGCCATGAAGCCAGTCTGGCCAAGTGAAGCTGCAAAGCTGAGTGCTCCCTTTTGAGAATGCAACTAACCTGTGTTCTGCCAATGCCATAGATCACAGCTAACTGTCTATGACTTTTGCCCTCATTGTTCTTGATCAAGTCTACTCTCTCACGTAAGGACAACTGCTCCCCTGGTGGCATGTTTATAATATTTGTCAACGGTCACTAAAGCGATGTACTCACAAACCATATGCTATGAATAAAGCACTTACCAAGAACTGGCCTCAGGAGCTCAGGTTAGGCCGCTTGCGCCAAGCAAAGTCGATTTTCCGCTCATGCTGCTTCCGCGATCCCAACACTCCCCATGCCGCACATGCACGACTGAAGCCCACTCCACCCACACTAGCACCATCGAGCGAACAGCGCGAGAAGCCCGAGGCCAAGTGCACTGCATGCACGTTAGTAGTGGAAGGGGGATGTTTGTAAGGGAAGAGGGTGCTTGTAGTGGTCGCAATCAATGACCGTTGACCTGAATAGTGAAGTGCCCGGTTTACTGAAGCAGACAGCCTATCTTTTAGCATAGACAGTGAAAGAGACTGAAAATGTGCCCACAAGTTTGAGGTGGCTGAATTACCGAGGTGACCGCAAACTGAGTTTCTATTGTACTGTAAAGTGAATTGGAGGTTGGTGAGGTCTCCTTGGAGCTGAACTGGTTCCAAAGTCACATGTTTGGCAATGGAATGTCAGAATTAAGCCAGCCCTCTATAATATTATAAATTATTATTAGTATAATATCCTCCCATTGATTACACCTCACATCCCAGAGAGGCGAGATGTAATCAGATGCTCTGTGGATGCGGATGTGGACAGACAAGGACACAGTTCTGAGTGTTTGATAACCATGTGATCCTGTGGTTATGGAGAGGTTAGGTATCTGTCTGGCTTCCCACTTCATTATCCTTCTCCTCCTTATCCAGTTCTCATGATGATCCTGATTTTCCAGATAACAACTTTCCTCAAAACCTGCTTTATAAGGAGGCAGAGCATGAGACTATTTGCACTTGCACCATTCCCGTTCCCAATTCTGTCCTCTGGGGAATGAGGAGCCAGTGGAGTCGGGTGAGGGTGGGAGTGATGGGCTCGTGGACTTGGTGCGTGAGAGTACACGAGCTGCAGAGTTTTGGATGATCTGCAGCTTGTGAGGAGAAGAGTTGGGAAGGCCGACGAGGAGGGAGTTTCCGTAATCGAGCCTTGATGTGAAGAATGTGTGGGTGAGGGTTTCGGCAGCCTGAGGGGTGAGGCAGTGGCGGAGTCTGGAAATGTTGCGGAGGTGGTGGTAGGCAGTGCCGGTCATGGCGCAGATGTGAGGGAGAAAGGACAGTTTTGGAGGAAAATTAGTTAACGTTTCAGGTCCATGACCTTTCCTCTAAAATCTCCCACTATTGCCTTCTTTTGTCTGGCACCATCAACACCTCTGATCTCGTCATCTTCTGTCCTCCACCTACATGTTTCCTTTGTCTTTGTTTCCCCACCCCCTTCTCTGCTTGTCCTTATAATCTGCTCCCTTCCAACATCCCCCAGTTCTGATAAAAGGTCATCGACCTGAAACGTCAACTCATTTTCCTCTCGATAGATGCTGCCTGACCTGCTGCGTGTTCCCAGCGACTTCTGTTTTTATGATGGGACTTTTAATTTCTATTTGAAGAACATGCAGACAGGAACTTGGTGTGGTGTGATGCCTCATCCAAACAGCACCTTGACAATGCTAAATTTTCCCTAATATCACACTGAAGCATCAGCCTGAACTACGAATTTAACTCCTGATTTGAGACTTGAACCTACAATCTCTGAGTCTCTCAGAGGCAAGAGTATGACCGACTGAGCCAAGCTGATTATTATATACAGCAACCGTCGCATGAAAAGGACACAGATTTTTTGTAGCACAAATCACAACCTTCAAAAGAAGGGAGAAAACTGGGAAAGAAAAGTAAATTTGTTTAATTATTTTTAATGAAAAATACTATCACGATCATGAAGGTAGACAGAACATGTATGCATAACCCGATACAATACAAAAGAATAATGTAATTATCTCATATGTATTAATTCGATTTAGCGAATGTCACCGGCACGTCTGAAAGCATGCCACTGGATTTACGGTAAATAGTGACTGTGCATTTGCAGGCAGGAATAACAACATTGATGGTCTTAAATTCAAGTATTTCTCTACCGTCAAGCTCAATGGGGAAACCATGTCATATGAATGGGGATTTACAAAGAACATACAGCACGGAAAGAGGCCATTTGGCCCAAACAGTCTGTGTCAGTGCTTATACTTTACACAAGTCTTGACCCATTCCTTACTCCGTCCCACACCCTTCAATTCTCTTCTCCACCACGTGAAGAAAAATAAAGAGGGGGCAAGGCAGAGAGCTTGAGGCAAGGAGTTTCAGAGGTTAGAGGCATTCAACAACCATTTGTACTTATAGAGCCCTCCACGCCCTCTCAAGAGCGTTTTTATAGTGGTGAAGCCTGACTCTGAGCCGGGGGGGAGGGGATCATAAGCACGGTTGAAGAGGAAGGTTTTTAGACTGAACTTGACAAAAGGGGAGAGAGAGAGCAAGACGGAGGGATTGAAGGAGACGTCAGTGGAGCCTGGCCAGAACTGGTGAGATGTGGGTACGGAGTTTGGTCTGGGTAAGTATGCAGGTGACAGAGTTCTGAATGAGCTGGATCTTTTGAATAGTGGAGCTGGGGAGACCGGCGAGGAGTGCGTTTGAGTAATCCAGGCGAGAGATGACAAACGCATGCATGAGGTTTCGGTTGCATTTGGGGAAAGGTACAGTCGGAGGCGGGCAATGTGACAGAGGTGGAAGAAGGTGGTCTTGGTCAAAGACCGGATGTGGAGGAGGAAGGACAGCTGGGGGTCAAACTGGACGCCTAGATTGCGCACTGGTTCACTGAGTGTGAGGGAGAGCCCAGGAAGGTTGAGGAATTCAGATCCGCAGGAGTGAAAATTTTGATGGGAGCCAAAGAGTATGGCTTCCATCTTGTTCACATTCAGCTGCAGAAAGTTTGCACTCATCCAGGTCCTGATGTCTGTCAGACAAGCTGATGGAACATTGGCGGACCTGGAGTTGGTATTGGAGGAGGCAAAGTCGATTTGTGTGTCATCCGCATACATGTGAAAATTTACCCCGTCCCGTGTCTGTGGATGACATCGCCCAGAGGGAGCACATAGATAAGGAAAAGGAGAGGCCAAGGATGGAGCCCTGGGGTACCCCACAGGTGACCGGGCAGTGGGTTTTTTGAAGAGGGGTGCGATAACAAAGGTTTTCAGCAGTGAAACAGAGCCTGTCGGCCAGCAAGCGGGAGTTGAGTGACCAGCAGCTGGGTGGGGAGGGGGTCGAGGCAGCAGGTGGTGAACTTCATTTGGGTGGTTGTGAGGGAGGGAGAAATGGGGGCAAAGGAGTGTAAGGAGGGGGGAGTGGCGGGAGCTGTGCTGGAGGGAGAAAGCGATGTGGATGATCTGGGTGGGGTGGAAGGGGACATGGGAGGGGGGGTGAGTGGGGGAGAGCATAATCTAGCCAAGTGGATCTTTTCAATCTTTGTGGCGAAGAAGTTTAGGATCTCTCGCACTTGGGAGTTTGATGTGAGGATAGAGGGGGCTTGAAGGGGTGCACGGAGGAGGTGATGGACGTTGGAAAACAATATAATGGCTGAAGGCACAGTTGTCGATGGAGGCACTGAGGTGTCGGGGAATGTGCAGTAGGTCTGTGTTGGGAATGCTACAATTCACGTCAATCCTGATAAACTTTTACTTGTTTTGGGCAGATGGGGGAAATGAGCCAGCTTTACTGCTCTTGTTCACTGGCCCGTGACCAGGAAGAGGGCATCAAAGGCCCCAAATTCCCATCTAATTGCAGCCAGTGAGACGATTTTTCCTTAAAATTTATGGTTGTAGAATTCCGCAAGCTTCTTCAAACTCAGCCCCAGTTCCAAAGCTGGTTTATCTGGTTCTATATAATTGTAAATTTGATTTGTATCGTAAAACAAAATGTTTTACGGGCTAAGAGCAATTTACGGAGAGTGAGAGAGAGTGGAGAGAAGAGAAAAAGAGGAAGAGTGAGAGGCACGGAGAAAAGAGATAGGAAAAAGAAAAACATAGAGGGAGAGAGGGAGAAAAGGAGGGAGAGAGAAAAAGAGATTTCAGGAGTGGAATCTGAGAACAACAACAACAAGATTTCATTTATAGAGTGCCTTTCACGTCGGGAGGACGTCCCAAGGCGCTGGACAGTTGGGTCAGGACCCGAGCAGGGGGGAAATGGTCAGGGGGAGGGAAGGGAGGGAGCGAGGAGGGGGTAGAGAGTCGAGAGGGGAGCTGAAGGCACGGTCGAAGAGAAAGGTCTTGAGACCGGCCTTGAAGGAGGAAAGGGAGGAAGCGGCGAAGGCACTGGGGGATAGAGTTCCAGAGCCTCGGGGCTGAGAGGCTGAAGGCCCGGCCACCGATGGTAGGGCGAATGGGGCGCGGGATGTGGAGCAGACCGGAGCCAGAGGAATGGAGGGTATGGGCAAGTAAGTAGGGGGATAGTAGGTCGGAGAGGTAGGAGGGAGCGAGGCCATGAATGGCCTTGTAGGTGAGGATGAGGATATTGAATTCGATCCTCTGAGGGATGGGGAGCCAGTGGAGGCGAGCGAGGGTGGGAGTGATGTGGTCGCGGTGTCTGGTGCGGGACAGTACATGAGCTGCAGAGTTTTGAATGACCTGCAGTGTGGACGGAGGTGCCGGGAAGGCCGACGAGGAGAGCGTTCCCATAGTCCAGCCTTGAGGTGATAAAGGCGTGGACCAGAGTTTCAGCGTACAACATACAAAGAACATACAAATCATCGGGCGAATGAAGACCAAAGTCTATCCAGTTCGACCATCCACCAACCTGGCAGTCGCATGACATGTTATGTCCCAAATTATATATTGTATCCCGAGATACCGAAGCGCTTTGAGACGCCTCAAAGACATGAGACGGCGCTATATCAAATGCAAGGATTATTATTGTATTATTTGCTAACAGAAATAGAAGAACAGGAAATTTCTGGCTCCTCCCTTACCTCCCCTCGCCTCCCTCCCCTAACCGGGCGAGGTGCAGGAGAGAGTCCCTGTCAGTGTTCATGGTGGGGGATATCTGACCACACGGCGTTAGGCGCGGCCTTACACAGGAAATGTCCTTCAGTCCCTGGGGGGGCGCCATCTTGGTTGGCCACTTGGCCCATTACTCGACCGTTGATCCCGCTTTTAGCGTCGTGCTGGTCAACAACCGCGTACACCCCGACGCTCCCGTCTTCGAAGCCCACAAACACATCGAGGTCGGGCTCCTCGGACAGGGCCAGGCAGCGGGGGGCTTTGCAGAGGCGGCAGCTGCCGACCCTCTTGCCGTCGGTCAGCCGCACGGCGTTGAGGACGGCGCTGGCGTGAAGGCGGCGGCAGAGGCCGCAGGGATCGCCGTCGCAGACGTAGATCACGTACCTGCCGTCTCTGGTCAGCCGCTGGTGGGAGATGGCGCCTCGGGTGCCGATGACGCACAGCCGACCGCTCAGGAGGTTCAGCACGTGGATGTCCTGGCCCACCACGGACAGCACGGCCGTCCGCCCGGCGGCGCACACCTGAAAGTCGTCCAGTTGCCGGGAGACGTTGACGGGCAGCCGGAGCTGCCGGCACAGGCTGTCCTCCGCCATGTTCCAGGTGTAGAGGCTGCCGGCGGCCGTGACCAACAGCACGTAGTCGGGATGCTCGGGCAGCGCCCGGAAGGCCACGATCTCCGAGGCGTCGGGACTCGCGAGGCTCTTGGCCGCGCCCCCCGACCACAGGCTGACGGCGAGCAGCAGCCGCGGCCGCTCGAGCCCCAGGAGGAAGGTGCTCGCGGGGCTGATGACGGCCCTGCGCAGGCGCGCGCGGACCTCGCACACCACGTGCCCTTCGGGAAGCTTCCACACCCTGGCGGCGCGAGCGGGGCCGAGCGAGACGGCCGAGCGGCCGTTGGGCGCGACCGTCAGCTGCGTCACGCGGCCCCCGCCCCGGATCCGCTGCAGGTTCAGCCCGCGGCCCGTGTCCCACACGTACAGGTCTCCGGCCTCGTCCGCCGAGACCAGCAGCTCGCCCGCGGCGGCGAGGGAGCAATGCTGCACCCGCTCGGCGTGCCTGAAGGTGCCCCGGACGCGGCAGGGGGTCAGAGACCACTTGTACACGACGCTGGTGCCGTCGGCCGCGTAGAAGTGCTCGCCCCCGGGCGACAGCAGCAGGGCTTGGACCGGCCTCTCCGTCGCGGCCGTGGCCGCGGCCTGGTCCACGCAGTCCAGATCCCAGGCCGTCAGGTACCCTCGCGAGGTGAGCGACACCAGGGCCTTCCGCGCGCGGCATTTGGTGAGCGCGAGCACGGCGCCCGGCCGGTTCTCGAGCATGAGGACGCACCGCCCGCTTTCCCTCCGCCACACGAACAAGGACTGAGAGGCTTCGACGGCGGCCACGATCGCGTCGGCGTTTCGGGACAGCAGCGCCCGGGCGAAGCGGCCGTTCCGAGGGGCTTTGAACTGCGCCGGCGGGTCCCAGCTCAGGGTGTCCCACAGCTCCACGCGCGACGCCCGGCACAGCAGGAGGCAGCGGCGGGAGAGCTCGACGCTGAGCAGCTCGTCGTCGCCTTCCGCGCGCAGATGCTCCTCCAGCAGCCGCGGCGGCTCCTCGCGCCCCGCTCCCAGCGCCCACACCCACACGTTCCCGATCCTGTCCACCACGCACATCTCCTCGCCGGACGAGGGCAGGAAGGCGGAATGCACCGGGATCCCGGGCCGCTCGGGCGGGCAGACGGTGGCCACCGGGAAACCGTCGCGCAGGTCGAAGACGGTGACCGCGCCCGTCCGCTGCCCGCACAGCGCGTACCGTCTGTCGTCGGAAAAGGAGAGGCACTCGACCTCGTGGTGGCAGCGGAGGTCCTCGCCGGCCCAGCAACCGGACGCCAGGTCCAAGACCCTCACCCGCGTGCACTTCTCGGACCAAACCAGGCCAACCGCGCCGCACAGGGCAAAGTCGAGGCGCGGCGGCAGCGGTTCGCTACCGTCGACGCTTCTCCTCACTTCGACTTCATAAAGCAGGGACGTCAGCGCGAAGTCATACACCAGGACGGTGCCCCGGGCGGTCGCGAGAGCCAGGAATTGGTCGTCCTCAGACAATCCGACTCTCGTGACTTTGACTCCCTTCGTGTTGAGTTGCTCCCAGAGGCCTTGAGCCTCCAGGTCCCAGGCAAACACAGAGCCGTCTTCCAAGGCCGCGAGAACCAGAGAGTGGAGCTGAGTTTCTATGATATCAGTGGCTGCAGCTGAGCTGCACAAGGCAGCTTGTACTCTGGGTACGGTTGCTACAGGGCTCCGCAGCACTGCAATTGCGGAATGTTCCAGGCCACCTGTGTAAGCTTGCTTCAGGAAGCTGTCCAGCTGTGGGAAACACTCCACAAAGGGTAGGACCATGGTCTGGATGAGGGATGGCAACTCGTCCGGGGACCACCGGAGTAAACAATTGGCCTTTTTCAAAATGCTCGATAGGAACCTCATCTCCCTTCGGTTTACAGTCCAAGTGTTGTCATCCAGTTCCGTTATCAGGGCAGCCAACAGGCCGGCTTTAGTCATTGCCCAATGGGCTTCAAAAGAGGACATGACTTCACTGTAGAGGTCTTCTAGCCTCCTGCTTTTCTTGAGGTGGAAAGGCAGCTCCATCGCTTTTCTGTGGTTCGGGAAGATCAGAGAAGAGTTGGGGAAACGGGCAGTGAAGAGCCACGGTTGTGAGGGCTGCTGCCTGTCGATGTACACCTTCCCGGAAACTTTTGATCCCGGGGATGGCGGACAACATTTTGGTAGATCTGTTGCCGGCTCGCGAGACTCTTGCATTTCGAGCATTGGCTTTCCTCTCCCATTAGCCCACCGGCCACCAAAGTACTCTGCTACGGTGCCGTGCATTTCCTGCACCATTCCTTCATCCCTCAGGTAGCGCCTGCGGATCACAAGCGAAAAGTGCCTGCTCGTCCAACGCAGCAGTTTCACTCCCCCACACATCCTTCCCGCCAAAAACCCATGCAGGTCAAGCCACAGCCTCGCCAGGGCATAGTACGGCACCTTCGCCGAGGCTGGAGTGCCATTTTGGGGCCAAAAATATTGTAAAACAGAATTGTCAAGTGACAAAATGTCCAGAAGTTCAGCCTCGCTGAGCCCCGAGTTTGCAAGTGTTACATAACCCAAAGCTCTGGAAACCAGAATTTCCCCGTGTTTCTCCTCAAGCCTTTGGAGCAAGCGCTCAATACTGTCATGAACTCCTGTTCCCAAAGTCTGCCATTGACGTCCACATGAGACCTCCAACAAAGAAGTTCATTGTGAAGCAAGGTGACAAAGAGTGGCAGGGTGCATTGGACTAGGGCTGCGTTCACGTATACCTGCTGCCCAGAGCTGATCCTTCGGTTGGAAGAGTGTAGGCTCTGTGTGAGAATCTTGTTGCATTCTTTCCTCTGCCTTGGCTTCAGCTCAACATAAGTCATTGCGTTTGGATAAAAAGTCCTGAATCTCTCTACAAGGCCAAACTTTTTAGGAGCCGCAGAAATGATTAACCTGACAAAGGGTGGTAGAAGCTTAGGAAACCACCACAAGGTTCTGTCACTGACAGCCTCAGAGATCTGGTCAATGGCATCTATTATTATAATTAGGGGACGTTGCTCGGTCGACGCTGCCAGAAGGCTGGCAAAACAGTCCTTCATTCCTTCAGCATCGCGGAAAGGCAGGGGCGTGGGTTTTTTGTAGCTTTGAGCTATTTGTTGACACATCCCTGTCATGATCTCTGAGAAGCACGGAACCACCCCTGCAGAGGACAGGAAACGAAGCACAGGCACAGGATCACAGTCATTCAGCCAGGAACACATCTGAAAGAAATCGCATTGATACAGGGCAGTTTAGGTTTACATTGCAGCTTTCATGTTGGGAGGATTTCTCAAAGTGCTCAACCCTTCTAGCTGGGGATTTAGAGGAATTCTGAGAAGGGGTTTCATAGAGGGTGGCGGAGAATGGTTGAAAGCCCCTCTGCCAATTTTGGAACGGGTGGAGGAGAGAAACGTGAAGCAGGACGGTGTTCGCTGAGCGAAAGAAGCGGACGGGGTTGTAGGAGGTCATAGAGGCAGCGTGGGGCAACCTGCATATCAAGCCATTAAATATTTACAGAATCGGGATTTTTCAGCGCAGAAGCTATCTCTAACAACCATTTCTTTAGCCCACCCATCTTTCAAGTCTACCCCACAGTGGTAACCGCTCATTTCTGGTGCTGTCCGCACGTGATGTGGAAGGGGCAGGGGTGATCGGAAGAACAGTAAAGTTAAATGCAACACCTGCTTGGCGCAAGCTGTTAAGAGGAGAGTCTTTCCAGTGCAGGGTCTCCCTATGATGAGAAGAGGGGCGGCCGATTGCTTCCCAACGATGTAGTCTTTAACCTGCTCCACCTCTTCCCATTGGTATTCCCACAGGCTGGGATGAGGGTCGCACACGGGTAGATATTCCATTGCTTCATCCGTCGCACTGTGGACCTCGGCAGACCTCTGTACGTTGCTGCGATCGATCAGTCTCACTGAGTCGCTGTAAAACTGACTGCAAAGGCCTTCCATGTACTCTTGTTCCATCTGCTCCTTGCAATCTCCATGACGGGGGCTGGGCAGCATGGAGGTGTAGAGGTGCAGGCCTGAGGAGACCAGAGAGGGCAGAAGCTCATCCCGAAGCCTGCGGTGGTTAGCAAACGTCTGGGCCTCGCTTCCCGACCACTCCTCTATGCCGGCTCCTCTCGCCAGACCCTTCGCGATCTGCTCCAAATGGTGAGTGATCTGCGGCGTTTTAAAAATATAGCAGATGCTGTTTTGCACAATGCTGGGCTGGCGGTTTACCAAAGCGTAGAGCAACTCCTCTTCAAGAGCTGCCACAGACAGAACTACAAGTTAGATTTTTTACAACAACTCCAGCTCCAAATCAACCTGGACTTGGAGCACAAGCCCCACCATGGAGGCCTGAAGAGGCAACCTTCTGCCCGGAGACGAGCGCTACCAACTGAGCATTTACGCCGACTCGCTGTCCCAAAACATCAACTTGCATTTATCTCGCTCCTTTGATGTAGGATAGCGTCTCTGAGCTTTACAACAAATCTGAGCAGGGTAAGGTTTTGTTTTAGAAGCTACTAATGTTAAACTGCCTTAATTCCTGCACTACATTTGTAAGAAAGAAGGCACTTTCTTTTTGTATAATAATAATCTTTGCATTTGGTATAGAGCCTTATCATTGTCTTCGAGACTTCTCAAAGCGCTTCACGGAATATACTGTAAAGTGAATTGACTGTATATTTTGTGGGTAAAACACGGCAGCCAATTGCACATAGCAGAGTCCAACAGACAGTCGTGGATTGAGTGACCAAATTATTTCTTTTTTAAGGTTTTTTTTTAAGGAATTATTACCCCTGGAAAAGTGATCTGCCCATTGACTAACAACCGGATTCCTACTGCTAGGTAAACAGGTGTGTGGAGTAAAGAATCTTGCTCAACATTTTGCCCTGCCGAGAATCGAACTCTCGCTTGCGAGATGAGTGCTCTAATAATCCTTAGAGTTGATATAGTGCCTTTTATGTCAAGAGGACATCTCAAAGTACTTCACAGGTTATACCGTAAAGTAGTGACAATATTTTGTGGGTAAATATAGCAGACAATTTGTGCACAGCAATATCCCACAAACGGCCATGAAGCGAAAGACCGATTTTAGGAATCGTACAGAAGTGCCAGGCAGTATGATTTGTTTTTCCCAACAGTCTTAACACATATGGATTCCATATGGGGTGAGGGGAGTGTAACTTTCACTTGTTTCTTAACAGGATTCCTGAATTATTATTGTTGCTGGCAGTGATCAGCTGCTGTGTCTGCCTATGTTGCAGCAGCCAAAACAACAACAACTTGCCTTTGTATAGTGCCCCTCATGGAGGAAGGTGTCCCGGAGTACTAGTCCCACTATGCTGCACAGTGACCCTTGTAACACAAAGTAAGTTCCTTTGCTCGAAGGTGGGATGGTGAGGCAAGTTCTTTTACCGGTGGTGAAGTACTTGCGAGCTTGCTCTGAGCCCATCGTTCCATCTTCCACACACATCCTGACTGTTGTGCTGAAGATTGCCTTCATTTCCCTGTAGTTGCTGAGCCACACGGCACGAGCCAGCTCCCTCGATGCCCGGTCCCTCTGGTTTAAAACAAAACTCTTCACATTAACCGCGCATGAGATTGATTGTTTGCTCTCCTTAGAGTTCAATCACCAGTTTCAAAATCCACAGCTGTTATAACAACAACCACTTTTATTTACATAGCACCCTTTGCGACTCAGACCGGGGCACATTAGTAATAAAAATGGTAATACAAAAATAATAATTTTGTCGGCAACTGTTTGTGTGACACTGCTGTGCACAATTGGCTGCTGCTTTTGCCCACAAATTTTGAGACTTCTTGAAGACATGATAAGGCGCTATATCAAATGCAAGAATTATTTATTTATTATTTTACATTATACTCCTTACACCCTTACGTACAGTAAGGGGATTAAAAACAATCCAGAACAAACTGATCATGTGAAGAGTTTCTGTGAAAAAGTAAGACCTGGCATGAGAAAATGCTATAAAAGTAGTGAACACAAATCATCGGTAAGAGATCAAGATGCAGCCACTGAAAGATCATCCGTCAACACATGATCAGTGTATGCTGAGCAGTCGCCACCTCTCCCAGAGGAAGGATTTGATCTCCCTCGTATCTGAACCATGAGTACCAGTTACATGTACAGTGCCACAGCATATCAATGTTACTTTTGATTGACGAAAGTGGCTATGTGATTCAGGAGGCATCAGAGAAGAGGACTGGGAAGAGCCAACCAACTCTCCCTGGACTCCCCAGTTCCACCATACGTAAAATACAATTAATTCAGAACTCCGCCGCCCGGATACTAACCCGCACAAAACTCTGGACGACCATCACACCAGTCCTTGCCAGGCTGCACTGGCTCCCAATTTCCGAACGGATTCACTTAAAGATCCTCTCTTGTTTTCAAATCCCTTCGTGCCCTCGTGCCTCCCTACCTTTCCAACTTGCTCAGCCCCCCACTTCACCATCCGCTTGGCCAGCTCCGGCCTCCTGTTCATCCCTCCCCCCTCCTGTCCACCATCGGCGGTCACGCTTTCAGTCAATACGGCCTGAAGCTCTGGAACTCTCTTCCCCCAATCCTTCCACCTTGCCTCCTTCCCGCTTTCAAATCCCGCCTAAAGTTCTTCCATTTTGTGCCTACAGTTACCTTCCCCTCCCTCTCTGTCCTGGCTCTGGGTCAGACTTCACCATTATTAAGCGCTCAGGGACACTACCCAACATGAAGGGCACTATATAAATGCAAGTTTTTGTATAAAGTACTAACGTCAATTCGAGATCCCGCTCATCAGTCTCGTATTACATTGTGAGGAACACAGAAACTTACAAGATGTCTCAAAAGCCAGAAAAATACTGTAAAGTGGATTGACTGTATTTTGTGGGCAATTATCATAACGTCAGCGGTGGGCACCCAGCGAGGGAGAAGGGAAAGGGGAGAAGGCAGAGGAGATGGTGGTGACCATTGGACCTGTCAAAGAGATAGATTGTGAAGTGGGATTTGAAGACAGATAGAGGAAGGGAGTTTGAGAGGTTAGGGCTTAGAATCTGAACCCTCAGTCACTGATTGTGGAGCGGAGGTGTGGGGGGGAGACATGCACAGCTGATGAGCGGAGGATGTGAGTTGAAGTAATATTGAGAACCATTTGTCTCAGTGCCGATAGCAGTAACCCAAGCCCTCCCTCCTCTATGCCACTTCTCAAGCACCCCCGATCCTCAACTCAGGCACCAAGTGCACACGGAGTTCAGTACACACTGAGCATCCCAGAAAACGCACCTCATCATAGTAGTGGGGGAGGACCTCAGCTTTCCCCTGGAGGTAATAGATGGGTGGGAGTGCATTCTCATCTCGCCTGTACCATTCCTCCAGGACCCCGGTGCTCAGGCCTTCATTCTGGGAGCTGCGGAGAATCATCTCAAACTCACTCGTTTCAATTTCTCCAGGTAGACTGGTGTTGCCGGGCTCTTCCCCTATTAACGCCTGACACAAATGACACCATAATTATGATTAATAACCAATGGCAGCAAAATCCACAGTATTGTGATGAGATACCCAGAGTTTAATAATAGTAATAAATAATGTTAATGGCTTTATAAATAGGGGCATAGAGTACAAGAGGTTATGATTAACCTATTATAAAACACTGGTTAGGCCTCAGTTAGAATACTGCGCCCACTTCTGGGCACCACACTGTAGGAAGGATGTTAAGGCATTGGAAAGGGTGCAGAGGAGATTTACAAGAATGGTACCAGGAATGAGGGACCTTGATTATGAGGAAAGGCTGGAGAGGCCGGGGTTATTCTCATTGGAGCAGAGAAGGTTACGAGGAGACCTAATAGAGGTCTTCAAAAGCATAAGGGGATTTGATAGGTTGGAAAGTTCCCACTGGTGGGTGTGTCGGTGACTCGTCACAGATTTAAAATAATCTCTAAAAGAAGCCGAGGGGAGGTGAGAAGAAATTTGTTCACGCAGCGAGTTGTTCGAATCTGGAACGCATTGCCTGAAAGGGCGGTCGAGGCCGATTCGATAACAACTTTTAAAGACGCGGTGGACGGGTATTTGAGGAGGACAGGTTTGCAGGGTTATGGGGAAAGGGCTGGGGAGTGGGATTGACATTACATTGCTCTTTTCAAAGAGCCGGCACAGACTCGATGGGCCGAATGGCCTCTTTGTGCTGTACAATTCTATGATGATAACAATAATGCTTGCATTTGATATAGCTGTTTGTGGGACACTGCTGTGTGCAATTGGCTGCCTCTTTGCTCACAAAATATACAGTCAATTCACTTTACAGTATATTCTGTGAAGTGCATTCAGACACCTCGATGTGTTAAGGTGCTATATCAAATGCAAGGATTATTATTATTAACCCCCCCCACACCCACCACAGTTTCTAGCCTCTGATCACTCACCACGAAGCAGGGCCCGGCAGATGACTGTATACATTCCTGCAGCACCTTAATCCTCAGCTTCCGGACATCAGAATCCAGGACATCATCTGGATCTACTCCCTCATATGCATCAATTGCCTGTGAATTTAACACCCGGTGTTAGACACAGGCAGAAATAACAACAACTGTTCACAAAGAGAGCAAAGGCGAGCACATTGCTGTGCTGATTAGCTGCCAAATCTACAACAGGTAAAACATTTTCTTGCTTAGCCGGAATGTCTGACCTTTGTGAACACCTCGCTTCCTCCCTTTCCTCCTTCAAGGCCGGTCTCAAGACCTTTCTCTTTGACCGTGCCTTCAGTTCCCCTCTCAACTCTCTACCCCGTCCTCGCCCCCTCCCTTCCCTCCCCTCCCCCTGACCATTTCCCCCCTGCTCGGGTCCTGACCCAACTGTCCAGCGCTTTGGGACGTCCTCCCGACGTGAAAGGCGCTCTATAAATGGAATCTTGTTGTTGAACCCGTTATCGTGCTTGACATATCCAAACCAGACTTTTCACATATATGTGCCACACACACACACAATGGAAGATTTCCGTGTGACTGGAATGGAATGTACACACCCTGCTTACCTCATTCCAGTGAGTCTTAGGTGCACGTTGGGCTATTCCTAGTAGTTTAACAAGTAAAAGCACACAGCTTTGCCATTGAGAGCATTGTCTGGCAAAGTTGGAAGGAATTTCTAATAATTATTCATGCATTGGATATAGCGTCATATCACGTCACTGAAATGTCTCAATGCTCTTCACAGGAATTATTATAAAATAGAGTGACTGTGTCTGCAGGTGAATGATATTTCCACACAGCAATGTTCCACAAACAGCCATGAAGTGAGTGATCTATTTTACCTGGGAGATTGTGGGCTGGGACGCTGGAAGAACACCTCTTTTCATGTTGGGAGGACGTCCTAAAGCGCTGGACAGACAGAGTTTCGGACCCGAGCTGGGGGTCGGGGTGTGTGGAGGGCAGGGGGGGAAGCGGAGATCGAAGGCATGGTTTAAGAAAAGGGTCTTGAGATGGGTCTTGAAGGTGGCAAAGGAGGGGGCGAGACAGGGACTGTGGGATGGAGTTCCAGAGGGTGGGGGCAGAGTGGCAGAAGGCCAATAGTGGGGTGAGCAAGGCGGGACGAGAAGCAGGCCAGAGCCCGCTGAGCGAAGGCAGCGAGCAGGTAGGGGTTAGGAGGTCAACGAGGTAAGAGGGAGCAAGGCCATGATTTTGGATAGAGCAGGTAAATGGAATTAGGTTAGAAGATCAGCCATGATCTTATTAAATTAAAGGCTCGAGAGACCGAATGGCCTACTCCTGCTCCTATTTCTTGTGTTCTTATGTGGAGGCGAGAGCGCTACCAGTTGAGCCAGACTGACACCCAGCACAGCCCAGGCTGCTGTTGATGATTACCTGGAATTCCAGGCCGTGCTTGTTTCTGCAGTGTTCTCGAAGCTTGGGACAAACTCTCTCCCGCAGTGCTTTCCTATGTTTTTCACTACCTGAAAAATAAAGGATTGAATTGAACTGCAAGAGCATTGCAATGCTCTAACACTGGTAGCATGAAGATTTACACAACATTAGGAACTGCAAAATGCTGATGGTAACAGTATAATGGAAGGATCCCCAGACACTGGGGACATTTCAATGCCCGTCCTCCCCATCAATATGATACAATTTACATTTATATAACACCTTTTACGTCGAAAGGACATCTCAAAGCGGTTTAAGCACAAAATCCACCATTTTAACTACTGCAGTGATGGTTGCAGGTTGTTATTTGCTGGAGGGAGAGAGTCCTGGCGGAAGAGTAAACTTACTGTTTACTCTTAAGGAGGCGACTTACTTCCAGGAGAGACAAGAAAGATGGAAATAAGTAGGGAAAACGGTGTGAGAGAGTTGCTGAGTGAGCAGTGGAGAAAATAAAAAAGCAAAGAAAACTTAAGTTTGCTTTAGCAAGTGAGAGGACCTGAGTTTGATTCCCGGGTGGGACGAAACCTTACGCACGTTTCCTTATTCTACGACCTCTGTTTACCTCGCAGTAAGTAGGAATCTGGTTGTTAATCGATTGGCGGATTGCTTTCTAGGGCTAACAATCGCTTAAAACATTTTTTAAAGAATAATTCGGTCACTCAATCCACAACGGTGTGCGGGACGTTGCCGAGTGCAATCGACTGCCACATTTTGCCCACAAAATCCACAGCCACTGCACTTTCAATATATTCTGCGAAACGGTTTGAGACGTCTCAATGACGTGAAAGGCGCTGTAGTAAATGCAAGGATTATCATTCTTGTATGAAAAACAACTTGGAAACCAGGATTTGTATATTAAGATAAAGGCAGTGCTTTTAAGGGCAGTTAGGAATGGCACAAAGAAGGATGAGCGGAATGGCCCCACTGTTCATTATGTGAAGATGTTTATTTAAACAGAAATGTCAACACTGGATTCAGCCTCCACACCACAGCAGGGCGCCGCCTGCTGGCGACACCGTGTCACAGCTCAGTGTAGCTGCTGCCTCCGGCAGTCGAACACGGTGTGACTGGATCTGGATCTTAAAGCCACTGATAACAAGGAATCCACCGACTTTAAAACAAATCAGAGACAGCAAACTGCCGGTTTAACTGCAAACTTTCAACATTAAAAATACAATTGCGAAAAAAAAAATTGCAAAAAATTTGAGACAAATTCTACGAGTTTTAAAAAAATGTAACGTTTCAATCTAAACAGTGGAAAAGCCCGAAATACGCAAGATTTATTTACCTTGTGGATTAGCACAGATGAACATCTGCACACATCTGGAGGCTGCTGGGGGAGCGACCCAAGGGAACTTTGAGGCTGACATAGCCTTTTGCTCGAGACGATCGTCTATTTGTTGCAACTTCCAAATAAAGTATCTGGAGATGGAAAAAAAAGAGGAAACCCCTGGGCTTTTTCGCAGCTGGCACTTTTCAACAACAGCAGGATTCCACTTCAATAGGTTTGAAACGAGTTTGCAGCCTAACTTCTCACTGCTAAACTGCTCAGTATTAAAACAACCTATTTGAAAAGTTGTGCTGCTGATACACTCCAGAACTCAGCACCTGCCCCTCCTCCCTCTGGTTTGGTAAAGGACGATCCCACTTCTGTTGGGAATGTGGATGGTTTCACGCTGTCTCCTGCAGTCAGCCACAAGTGTCATCACCAGCAACTCCACACTGTAACTCATCAAATAGCAACTACAATACAATACACAGCCAGAAAACTCCCCAAACTGGAAGTGATGCAATGATTTCTAAATTGTAGTTGTGTAACTGAGCTTCCTTCTGCCTGGGATACAGCAGGGAATAGGGATGGAGTACAGAGCTCCAGTGAGATAGCAAGCCACAGTACATGGGGTGGGGGGAGAGAGCAGGGAAAGGGTTAGACAGCAAACACCAGCAGACATGTTAGGGAATGAGCTACTTCCAGTGATCGGGGAGTCAATGTCTTAAAAGATATAAATATTAGATAGTCACAAGAAGGGCAAGAAGAAAGTTTAGGAGATTTCTTTTGAAAGTTGGGATGTGGAATGCCCTGGCAAGTCAGGTGGTAGAGCAGTGTTCATTGTGGGTTTCAAGTGGGAAGTTGACAGACATATGAAAGATAAAGGCTTGAAGGGGTTTGGGGCAGGGCGGAGGGAGTGAATGAACTGCTTGCTCTGAGAGCCAATGCAGACTTAATGGGCTGAATGACCTCCAACTATGCTGTACCTTTCTATGATGTTAAAAAGCCCACACGATTAGCGAAAATGAGAAGGAAGTTTCTCGTCTCCTGGTCAAAAGTCCTCCAGATAAATTTATAATTTAATAATTCTAATAATAATCCTTGCATTTGATATAGCGCTTTTCATGTCTTCTAGAAGTCTCAAAGTGTTTCACAGAATATACTGTAAAGTGAATTGAATATTTGTGGGCGAAACGCAGCAGCCAATTGCTCACAGCAGCGTCCCACAAGCAGTCGTGGATTGAATGACCAAATTGTTATTGTTATTTTTTTCTTGAGGGATTATTATCAGGAGTATTGAGTAAGGAAACTTGTCCAAGGTTTCACCCTACTGGGAATCAAACCAGGTTCCTCGTTTGCAAAACGAGTGCTATAACCACTGAGCTACAGGACTCCACAAACCTGAGAAATTAAACCTTAGTTTAAACCCTAGAAATTAAAAATAAATGGTGGGCCCCAGCTTCTCGCACCATGACTTACAGATTCTCAGAATGGGAGATTGTAACCCCACCCCACCTCCCTCGCTCAGTCCACTCCCATCCCCCAGTAAATCAAGTTCAAGATCTAATTCTCATGTTCAAATCCCTCCATGGTGTCACCCCACCCTGCCTCTGCGACTTCCTTCAATCACACTGACTCGATTGCTACTTTCACTCAGTAAATAAGGACTTGCTTTAATGGCCCCACAGGTGGGTTTATAGCTATTCTATTCTGCCCCCACTCTCTGAAAATTCATCCGACAATGTTGAGTGCTTTGAGACATCCTCACAACATGAAAGCTGTGTAAATCCAACAACAACAACAAAATTACATTTGTATAGTACCTTTCACATCGGGAGGATGTACCCAAGGCGCTGAACAGTCAGAGTTTCGGACCCAAACTGGGGGGTCGGGATCGGGGAGGATGGGGGGAAGCAGGGAGATCGAAAGCATAGTCAAAATGGAGGGTCTTGAGGTGGGTCTTGAAGGAGGCAAGGGAGGGGGTGAGGCGGAGGGACTGCGGGATGGAGTTTCAGAGGGTGGGGGCAGAGTGGTGGATGGCCCGCTTGACAATAGTGGGGTGAGCAAGGTGGGGTACGTGAAGCAGGCCAGAGCCCGCTGAGCAGAGGGAGCGAACAGGGTGGTAGGGGTTTAGGAGGTCGCAGAGGTAGGGGGGAGCAAGTCCATGGAGGGCTTTGAAGGTGAGAATCAGGATCTTGAACTGTATCCCGTGTGTAATGGGAAGCCAGTGGAGTTGGGCGAGGATGGGGGTGATAGGGTCACGGAGCCTGGTGTGGGAGAGGACACGGGCTGCAGAGTTTTGGATGATCTGCAGCCTGTGGAGGGAGAAGTTGGGGAACCCGACAAGCAATGAGTTTGCATGGTCAAGGCTCGATGTAATCAAAGCGTGTATGAGGGTTTCGGCAGCCTGCGGGGTGAGACAGTGTCACAGCCGGGGGAAGTTGCTGAGGTGGGGGAAGGCAGAGCGGGTCATGGCAGGGATGTGGGGTAGAAAAGATAGTTGAAGGTCAAACAAGACCCCAAGGTTCTGGACTGGCTTAGCAAGGTGGGGTGTGCAACCATGGATGGTGATGCTATCAGTGTCTGAGGTGAGGCGCTGACGGGAGCCAATCAGGAGAGCCTCGGTCTTACAGACGTTCAACTTAAGAAAATTTGCCCTCATCCAGGACTTGATGTCTGACAGACATTCTGTCAGCGCAGCAGTGGTCCTGGAGTTAAGGGTGGAGGCAGAGAGGTAGAGTTGGGTGTCATCCGCATACATGTGGAAGTTGATCCCATGTCTGCGGATGATGTCACCAAGAGGAAGCATATAGATGTTGAAGAGGGGACCAAGGACAGTCCTGAGGAACGCTGCACGATACGGTCCGGGGGCTAGAGGAGAAGCCGTTTGAGGAGATAAAGTGCAGTCGGTGTGAGAGATATGATCTGAACCAATCAAGGACAGCACCGTGGAGGTTGAGGAGAGGCGGTGGATGGGAATAGAGTGGTCAACATTGTCGAAAGCAGCAGAGAGGACGAGGAGGCAGAGGGAGCCCTGGTCGCAGATGGACAGAATGTAATTTGTCACTTTGACCGGGGCGGTCTCTGTGCTGTGGGCGGCACGGAAACTGGATTGGAGGGGTAATGTAAATGTAAATAACCCTTACAATAGAGCTTTTCACGTCAAAAGGATGTTCCAAAGAAACAACTTGCATTTATATAGTGCTCTTCATGCAGGGTAAACATTTGGGGTTGATGACCGGATGAAAGGTTATCAACCTGAAACGTTAACTCACTTTCCTCTCTGTAGATGCTGCCTGATCTGCTGAGTGTTCCCAGCGACTTCTGTTTTTATTGTGTGTTCTCCATTATCCTTATTTCAATGCCTCATCCGAAGGACGTCACCTCCAACAATGTGGCGCTTCTCAGCAGTGCACTGGACGAGTGTCAGCATAAACTATATGGATTCCAAATCCTGACAATAACTTAAACCCACAACTTTCTGACTCACGAAGCGAGAGTTCTTCCAACTGAGCCAGGCTGACACACAGGTGTTGATAAGCAGAAGGAAGAGTAAAACCATTTACTCATTCAAAACTTGAATAAATTTCAAATTTTTATTATTTAACATTTTGTACATAATAAATACAACTTAAACAGCCAATACATCGCAGAAAACCTTTTGCACATTTGCTTTCTCTGCTTGAAGTACTGACACTGTACAATGTATAATGTGGAGGACCAGTCCTGTGTATATTCTTGGATAAAAGGAAACTTAATAGTTCAAAAAAAATGTTCTTTTAGCAGCTCTTAAAATGTGTTTTATGAAAAGAAAATAAGCAAAAATGCAGTTTTAAAATACTCGTGTGAAGAAATATACAATAAGAACATACCAGCAAAACAAATCAACGACTGAAAGGAAATCAGGGTAACTTTCCTATAAATGAATTTAATGACTTGGTAATAGCAAGATCTTCAGATTATAAAAAAATACGGTCTGTAAACATTTTCAAAGTAAACAAAAAAATGACTTCGGGAGATACAAGTAAGAAATGAATAAGTGAAGTAGGAATGAAAACATCTGAGAGCAAGGTTGTAAATAAATAACCAGTTTACTGTTGGATATGGAGAATTTTAGTAAATTCCCTGTTATCATTCCCTCCTCATTGTGCTTTCTTCTAAACACTGAAATGTTACTTGCCCTTCTGACAGGGTCTCAGCCTGCTGTAAAGTGAGGAAACTGAACCTCTTTATTTACGTTGAGTGTTGGTCTCAGCAGTACTTGGACCTACGCCTGAGAAAGGTGCAGTGTGAGTTATGTCACTGCTACGTCACGTGTCGCCAAAATCTACATGGGCACTCAGAGGTTAATAATAATAGTTGGTTTGAAAAAGGTGTTCATCTAGTTTGAAGCCATGTGACATTCACACTGCAGTCTCTCTAATTTTAATACCCTCATCTCTCCAAGTGAAAGAAGAAGTTGAACACTTCAAAACACAACTGAGTCTTTAAGATACAGTATCTTGATAGGTGGATCTTAGGAGACAATCTCCAATGATCTACTCAACTACAATTTTCCGAAGCATTAAAAGTCTATCCGATATATCTGCTTACATTAACCTCCATTTCATCAGTTGCTTCCTATGTATATATATATATATATAAAACCTTACCCGCTCTGTACTTGTAAATATAAATTGGACCGATGCCTTTAAGAGACGGTTATTTTTCTCAGCTACAGCACGCTTTCCCCGAAAGGTATCAATGCACATTGTATCATCAAAAAGTACCAGGTAACATATGAACAGAAAGTTGTTAGCTCGGATAATTTAGAAAGTTGCACCACTTCGCCCTCTGCAAACTGAGACTGGTCAACCAAGTGATCATAAAAGTCATATTTATACTATTCAGAGACCAAAGATTCAAATACTAATCATTAGTAATCTAGCCACATTCAGTCAAAATCTCTTTCCCAAATTAGTTCATTGCATGCATCTTCCATAATGAAGGGCCATTTTGAAGAATAGGAACAGTCTGCACACTTTGATGTCAAAGCTGCATTCCTTGCCGACTAACACAAGCGCCACACAAAGGCTGAGTCGATGACCTATCTGGTGCCACAGCTGATTTATATCGGATGACTGGATTGAGTAAGCAAATAAAAAGTTCTGATTGATTATTGTGGCTCATCAAGTCAAAGCATCTCAAAGTGCTTCCTGAACAAAGAGTAACTCTGAAGTTCAGTGACTGTCGTAGAGGTCCTCTCAGCAGCTAATCTGCACCAGAAACATCCATGAGATGAACCAGCAATGAATCTGGATTCGAACAAGGGAGAAACATCTGAACACAAGTCACGGCTGTTGTAAGTAGGAACACTTTAGCAGGACACGTTCTCAGGCAGATTTTTCCAATTCTAGATTGGCGAGTTTCCTTAAGGGATGCCTGATTGCCTTTGCAATCGCAAATCAAATTTGAACTATCAAACAGATGTGCAGAAAATCTAAGTTACACCAGCCTTCATAAAGAGCTCAATTTCTCCTTAATTAACAACTGCAGGTGTTAGGAAATATTAGCAACACATACCAGATACAAAGCACAAAGTCCCACATACTATTCCCATTCATTCCTTTTAAAAAAGAAATCCGATTCAGGCATCATCAGCAAACATAGTTCTATCTATCAAGGTTCAACTGCAACAGTAGTAGTTTACACGTGCGTCTTTGAGGCTGCAGATATTTAACCTTTTCTAAGCCTTCCTGGTTTGGCCATTATGTTCCTTGAGCTGGGAGGTGCCCCAGTACCAGTCATGGACTGCTCTAAAATCATCGCTAAAGCTGCAGGTCAGCAAAAGAACAATCTGCCTGCAGGACAGGACAACTTTCCTCACTATCAATTCTCTCTTCTCTTTTTCACCCCTCTCTGAGAAAGAGTATTTGTGTCGCAAAACACCAACGAGCGATATGATGGAAAACGAAAGCAAAACTATGGTGATCTCTAGCCAGAGTCCGTGATTCTGGGGTTCGAGAGAAGGAAAACAAAAGCTGCCTTCTCAGGCAGCAGATTATGTTCACTTTGGCATCTAGTGGGGTTGCACTACAGCTCTGCAAGTTTGGCTTTCTGAGGAGTTGCCACGAATATAAGTGGGATACAGTATCTTTACTAATTAGCAATATGAATTATGATTTGGATGGTTGTAACCTAGTAATACACCTAGTCTGTACAGAGTACAGTTAGTTCAGCTAAAGTATGCACTGATGAAATGTATCTGTCGGAAAAAGAAAAATCACAAAGAATCAACTGGCTACTGAATCCAAAAGCATCCGGTAAATAATATACAATAATGAACTAGAAGATGTGCTTAAGTAATGAATTGAAAGTGCTTTTATTGGTAAAACAATGCAATCCAATTTTGAATCTTGCCGACCAATGTTAAAATCCCAGGTGTTCAGCCACAGCTTGAATACGGGAGAATAGTTTTCTAAGCTTACGAAAATAAAATAGCTGCATATTCGAACCAAAACATCTTTTGTTGGTCTTTAAGTTACCTATTGGAAGAATATTACTAGCATCGGAAGAAGTGTAGCATCTGAACGCTGCAGTTTTCTATGTCAACAGTACTGAGATGCAGAATTCGAATCAAATGATAAAGTACTGTAGTTGAAATCAAAAATACAACTGCTAACCTCAATTTCTTCTCCAGAAGTACTGGCACGCAAGATTGATAACAGCTTGGAATAACAACACTCCCAGTTTTATTTTGGGGGGTGGAAGTGAAAGAGAACTTGAGTATTTGAACAAACGGTACCCATCATGTTTGAATGATGTCTTAGTTTATCACCTTGGGTCATCCAGCAAGAATCTACTGTGCAAAGCAGTTTTCTCTTTAAAACTAGATTTACCTCCATGACTTCTCTTAGTCACTTTGTTGGACACATTTGCCGAGTATTTAGTGTTTGACATCTACAGCAGGTTAAATGCTGTCTTAGCTTCCAGTCCTGTTTTCCAGTTTTCTGATTAACCTTTAGTACATTAAATATGGCAAGTCTGAAAGGTCCCAATTGTAGAGTTCAAGGTGAATCGTGCACATAATCCAGAAATCTATACCTTGCTCTGGCAAGTCACTTTAAACACATTTTGTCAGTGACGTTGGACATACTTTTCTTGTCTTCTTGTGATAATAGCAATCCTGCTGAAACATAATGGTTTCCCTTGGATTGCTTGATGAATAATGCACACAATACAATTCAAGTGGCTCACTGTATTCACGAAGTGCAGTATTCACCAATAATGCACATCTTCCAGTTTAGTTTTGCCGATATAATACTTTTGTGGGGAGTATAATGCCAACGCTGATAGATAAATGAAAAAAAAATCTGAAAGCAGCGAATGTGGTTAACAAGTAACCACCACACGAATAGGTCATCTGAGGGGAAATAATTTTGAAAGTTTTATTTAAAATTAAAATAGATGCAAGGAAAGCATATCTGCCAGAAACAAACCAAGTCCTTGCCTCTTAACTACAGGGCATTTGTGCTCTTACAGCTTCACTGGAAACAGGATTATACATTATTTCCGATTTTAAACATACTGATGTTTAATTTTTTTTCTTCTTCACTAGAATTATTGCATAAATATTAGTCATAAACAATTACTTTTATGGAAAACTAAGAGAATCTGGAGTTAACATAGTTTAGAGGCATCTTTTTGTATTTATTCCCTTCTTTGTCTGATTTTTTTCTCTTTCTTTGCATTGGAACTATGGAGAGGAACCAGCCTCTCTTAGAAAACATTCAGTCCTTACAAGAGGGGCCAATTCCCTTCATTCTTCAAGTCCATTAACATTACTGCCATTATAGCTGAATAAATGCATTTATAATGTGCTATAGGGAGATACTTTCTACAGGTAAGTTCAATGACCTTGCGGCTTGCTTTAATATCTTATTGAATATGGAATATAATCCTATGACTACAACGCCTGTACCGATGATCTGTCGTGAAGCCTTCAGCTGTACTTATATTTTTCAGCCTCTATAAGACGAGGTCCAATGATGAGTGATTGACTGATACGAATAGCCTACCTACACCCCAGCACTGGTAGAGCAATAACAGTTCGGTATTGGGATTATACTGGAATAGCACGTCTTTCCAATCCAGGTCTGTGCGCTGCACAGCACAATTGGTGTGTGAAAACAGGAGTGCCGGACTCTGTTGATCTGGTGACAGAAAGCAGTGCCTGGGTCCTAGATGTCTTCTTTGAAAACTGGGCTGGAATAGAAATGGTCTTTGTTGGACCAGACAAATGTTGGCTTGGTCAACCAGTTAATATCTCGCTCTTTTTAAAAAAAAAACCTTTATGGCCCATTTGATACGATTGGAACGAAAGATGTTGGTTGCAAAGGCACAAGATATATTGATTTAAAAAAGAAACGAGAATTCTCCTCACGATCTGTTTTATAACTGCTTTTTTCCTTTGTCCGCTATTGCTCCTCGACGAGGCAATTCCAGTGCACATGTGGCACAGAGTACGCAGGGAATCGGAGACCAGAAACGCTGAATAATTCAGTCTTTGTTTGAACACACGGAGGTGTTCCTTTTTGGTTACACCAGGGTTATTTCGACCTCCTCCGTCTTTTCTGGTTTCCGTCGGTGATGCTGGCTTGGTGGAGGTGGAGCTGCCCGTACCTGCAAACAGTAAAGAGAACCTTCAGGGCGTCATTGTAAAATCATCCATTTGTTACAGCGTTAAGCAGGGACAGCATAATTAAAATGAGCTTATGTCTGAACAGATGGATCAAAACAAGAACACTTTTGTCTGTGTAATTTATGGGTTGGACGCTTCCCATATTCCATTTCATTTACACGGAAAAATAGTCCTTGTCACAATTGACTTTATAGCGAAGTTTCACGTTCCAGCCTTGAAAGGAATCGAAATGGAGTTAAGCAGATAAATGGAAACAGATCACTTCAATCAAAGTGTTAAGTGTATGTAGTATCTGTATACCTACACTCCTGTATGACAAGAAAAAAAGGTGTGCGCATATAGTGTGTGGTTGTAGATGTGGGAGAGGGGGAGGGGTGGTGGGGAAAAAGGAAAAGGGCCTTGATTTGATGTCACTTGTGATGATTTTAAGATTGAGATTACAGATCTCTAATCCAAGGGAAGCACTTACTGGTCGGATTTTTCCCACTGAAGTTTCTGGTGTGAATCTGTGTGGTTCTGGATGAGTGGACACGTCTGAAGTCAAGGTTTCAGGATCTGGAGAATGAAAGCCAGAATACACTGAGGTAATTTCAGACAATCGGAAATTGTGCAAACATTGGCACCAAAATAGAAGTGACTTTTTAAAACATTAAAATACATTCACGCTTTGTGCTTCATTAACACTTATGAGATCAAGAAAAACTAAGAAGCAGCTTTATTTAATATTTCATGCTGACCTACAATTAGCTTTGATTAGCTCTTGACCTCTTGATACCTATGCAGCGAGTCCTGCTGCAGATGTGTGTGTGTGTGTGTGCCAGGTAGGACAGAATAGTTGTGGTGCCTCTTCACTGTCTCTTAGCCTGCCGATACTCACACATGATAAATGCACTTGGACAGGGATGCTCAGTGTCCCAATGAATCAAGCCTCCAATTGAAGGATGGAGTAAAGTGCCTTCGGGATTTTAAACAAAAGCTTGTGGTTTCAGCACTGATGTATATGTCAACCTTATCCTGATATTTGGCTATTAATAATAATCCTTGCATTTTGATGTAGCACCTTATCACATCATCGAGACATCTCAAAGCTGTCACAAGATATAGTGCAAAGTTGATTGACGTGAGGCTTGTGGGCGAAACGCGTAATAATAATCCTTGCATTTGATATAGCGCTTTTCACGTCTTCTCGACGTCTCAAAGCGCTTCACAGAATAGACCGTAAAGTGAATTGACTGTATATTTGTGAGAGAAACGCGGCAGCCAATTGCGCACAGCAGTGCCCCACAAACAGTCGTGGATTGAAAATGACCAATTTATTGTTTTGTTTTGGAGGGATTATTATTAGGCTCTGTGTGGAGTAAAGAAACTTGCCCAAGGTTTCGCCCCCTGTCTGGAATTGAACCCAGGTGTCTCGCTTGCAAGGCGAGTGCTCTAACCACTGAGATACAGGACTCATTGTAAATCAAGTGCAGTTTCTGTATCTTACCTGTGCCTGAGGGTGACTTGGGGAAGACCTGTGATCCAGTCTTGTCTGGACTACTCAAGGGGCTGTTGGGCGGCTGATCATATAATGGTAATGGAGGAAGATTGGTCTGTGGTCTTGAGGAGGGAGATACCTGTATGTCATGTTTAAAAAGTGGGTTAGAAAATGTAAATATTTAATGAATAAACAACAAACATATCTATCGCCAAATAATCCAAACACACTTGTAATTACGAGTATTTTACGCTGCATTTTTTAAAAGATGATATTAGTTTCAAGCATAAAGCACTTTTTTGGAAGTTTGATTGTGCTACATTACTCAGTGCCTAGTACTTATGTGCAGCAATGGCTTGGTTCCTGGGACTTGCTTGTTTTGTTATTGGAAATTAAGACCTTACATTGACACCACTCCATTTATGTTTAAATATTTTTCAATGGAAAAAATTCTGGCAGATGTAATGGCACGAAATTCAAGCTAGGGAAATGGAACAAGGCAGGCCAGGGATACTGGGAAAGTTCAATTCGCCTTGTGCTCACACAATACTGTGTCTCGAGGTGGGGTACCACACAATAGCACAATTCCTATTTTCTATCCCATCGTTCGATCAGCTGAACAAACAATAGTACCAATGACTTTGGACATGTCCAAAGGAGTTTTGTTCTCCTTGCCCTTCTGTTAAGAGGCCTCAAACTGGACATGAAGCAGATCAAAGTGAACAGTAAAAACCTCAATGCCAGCTAAAGGGATGCCTTTTGGTTGCTTTTAACAGATTGTTTGATAAGAAATCACTTGACATCTTAACAATGTAACATAGTGCAGCAAATTGCTCAGCATTATGGTGCCAATCTGTGATTAAATGTCAGGTGACGTTCTCTAGAAACTGGTACCTATGAAAAACTACTGTTTATCTGAATTCCATGTTCCATAAACAAGTTAATGGCAGGAAGGAAAGATTGTGTTATTTCCTTCGATTCTGCATTTCCGCAGCTTTTCAGACCTTCCTCTGTACAAGGCAGTTTAGTCAAGAGTTTTAACTCCCCTTAAAATAACAAATCACTAAATTGCTGTGGTGGTGACTCTGCGAGAATGTTGCTTACAGCCAAAGATTTTTATCAAAGTGAAATAAGGCATGAATATAGGCTGGAATCTGGGTCTAGCCTTTCAAAGTGGCACACCGATTATTTTGAATGCAGGGTAAACAATCTTGATTTAGTCCCGAGTTTAACGGAATATAGTTTTCGGTGCGAGATGAAAAGTCATTGAGAAACTAAACGTGGACCAACTAAAAGCAACAAGGAAGTAACCAATATAAACATAATAAATATACATACAGCGTTTTCTCCTTTACGTGTATGCACAGGAAAAAATACATTGCAGGAAAAAAAGGGGACAGTGATAGGGGAATAGTGGTGGTTTTCTATCAGATTCAAGATTTCTAGAGTTAAGACCATCTCTCCTACTCAGAGTGAAGTCCCTCAGGGCTCTGTCCTTGGCCCTCTCCTCTTTAATATCTATATGCTCCCCCTTGGTGACATCATCCGCAGACATGGGGTCAACTTCCATATGTATGCGGATGACACCCAACTCTATCTTTCTGCCTCCGCCCTCAACTCCAGGACCACTGCTGTCCTGACAGACTGTCTGTCGGTCCTGGATGAGGGCAAATTTCCTACAGTTGAATGTGAACAAGACTGAGGCCCTCCTGATTGGCTCACATCAGCGCCTCAGCACCTCAGGCTCTGGCACCATCAACCTCCATGGTTGCACACTACAACTCACCAGCCAGTCAGGAACCTGGGGGTCTTGTTCGAACCTCAACTGTCTTTTCTCCCCCACATTCAAGCCGTGACCCGCTCTGCCTTCATCTCCGTAACATAGCCCGACTCCGCCACTACCTCACCCCTCAGGCCTCTGAAACTCTTGTTCATGCCTTCATCACCTCCAGGCTCGACTATGCAAACGCCCTGCTTGTGGGCCTTCCCAACTCCTCCCTCCACAGGCTGTAGATAATCCAGAACTCTGCAGCCCGTGTCCTCTCCCGCACCAAACTCTGTGACCCCTTCTGCCTCACTCTCATCCGACTCCATTGGCTCCCTATCCTTCAGAGGATCCAGTTCAAGATCCTGGTCATCACATACAAAGCCATCAATAGTCTCGCTCCACCCTATCTCTGCAACCTCCTAACCTCCTACCAACCCACCCATTCCCTCCACTCAGCCGGCTCTGGGCTGCTCCAATCCCCCCAACCCACCCACCCACCATTGGTGGGAAAGCCTTCAGCCACTCAACCCCCAACCTCTGGAATTCCATCCTCCAGTCACTCCACCTCGCCCCCTCCTTGGCCTCCTTCAAGTCCCGCCTCAAGACCCTTCTCATTGACCATGCCATCGGCCACCCCGCTTCCCCTCCCCCACCTCCCCCTGACCCCAGCTCGGGTCTGAAATGCTGTAATCTGTCCAGTGCCTTGGGACATCCTCCCGACATGAAAGGCGCTATACAAATGTAATGTTGTTGTTGTTGTTGTTGAATGAAATTAGCAACACAGCAAGTTAGCTACGAGGGAAGAAATATGCGAACAATTCTAGACTTTACTTTCTATTGTCAAAGTAAGGATTAAAGCACTAGTGTGCTTTACTGCTCAAAGAACTGCAGATCTGCATTATAATTTTCAATTGGATTATCATATGCCATGTGTAAACCTTTCGGTGTTATTTTGGTTTACAAAGTAAATTACAGATGCCCTTAATTGTATAATAAAACAAATGACAAGGATTGATTAATTATGTATTCAGAGGCACCTGCTTTGCTATCTCTACACATCCATTTATAAGTTAGGTAATGCAGCTGTTTTTTGTACATGGTTTATACTTGGTGCATAACAGAACTCAATAACTGGGGAAAAATATTGAATCAATCTAAATTTTATCTGCCAAGAATTGCTGATCATTGTAAGTTAACATAGATTTTTGCTGTACAAAAGTAACTTATTTTAATGCGTGCAGCTTATGCTTGCAGAGGTTTGCAGTCTGATGACAATAAGTCACTCTCAACTTCCTGAGGGTGCTCAAAGTCCCTACACGACCACTTTGCGCCTCTGCTCGGTTGGCTCCGGCCTCCTGCATATCCCTCACCCCCTCCGTTCCACCATCGGCAGTCATGGCAGCCAATTTGTGCAGTACATCCCGAAACTCTGGAACTCTTTCCCTCAACCCCTTCGCCTTGTCCCTTCCTTCCCAATTTTCAGATCATATCTTAAGACCTTCCTCGTTGGCTGTGCCTATGTACAACTCCCCCTGGCATGGGATCAGGCTCCGTCATGGCATCAGGCTCCGTCACTGTTAAGTGCTCCAACATGTATTTACATATGAAGGGAATTATCTAAATGTAAGTTGTTGTTAACACCCTGGTGCTCCTGTTGGTACAGTCTCACATACCTGCACTTCTCCAATCCACTGAGAGTCACCGTTCTCAGACCCAGCCAGTTCTTCCACGAGCACAGAGGGAAAGACACCAATGCGTCCATTAAACTCGCCTTCCCAGAACCCATCATCTTCCTGGTTTTCTTTATTTAGTATCCTGATCACAGCTCCCTCGGGGAACGAAAGCTCATCAGCAGTCTGTCCCTCATAATCATAAAGTGCCTTCACAAAACAAACTGAAAGGGAAACGAGCAGTAGTTTTCAATAATACAGTAAAACTCATACAAGTCTATATAAATCTTATAATCACCTGAGTTGTACATCTGCCCATGTCCCGTTCAAGAGTTTATAGTCTGTGCAAGTTTGCGTTAACTCATACTTTGCATAACTCAGGAGTAAATGTATGGTTCCAACTGATGTGACTTATAATAATAATCCTTGCATTTGATATAGCGCTTTTCATGTCTTCTAGACGTCTCAAAGCGCTTCACAGAGTATACTGTAAAGTGAACTGACTGTATATTTGTGGGGGAAACGTAGCAGCCAATTGCGCACAGCAGTGTCCCACAACAGAAGTGGTTTGAGTAATCAAATTATTTATTTTTTCTTGAGGGATTATTATACCCGGAAAAGCAATTTGCCAATCGACTAACAACTGAGTTTTTACTTACTGTTAGGTAAACAGAGGTGTGTGGAGTAAGAAAACTCGCCCAACATTTCGCCCTGCCAGGAATCGAACCCAGGTCTCTCGTTTGTGAAATGAGGGCTCTAACCACTGAGCTATAGGACTGTAATCACGTCAAGTAATTCCAAATGAGAATCATAATAATAATCCTTGCATTTGATTTTGTTTTACAGTAATTCAGTGTGGAACTCAAGTCTGGTCTGGATACTCTTAAGCTGAGAAGAATTTCTAGGTCAGACACCCAAAAAATTAGTAATTGGTATAAATACAAGGCCTCACAAAGTGTTAATATGCCACTGAAAGTCTGAAGCTAACCATACGTTTAATGAAAGTTCTCCCTAAACAGGATACATTGCCATATCATTGAAGTCTAGGCCAAGGCAGCTCTGTGATTATACGTTTATATGTAATTGTGCTACATTTCGCTGCAACACAACTAATCTTCAGACGGTTTTCAACAGCACTGGGCCCAGCATTGAAAGTGGATCCAAAATTAGTATCTTTCTAAAAATATTAAGAGACTTTGGCTGCACCGAGACAGACAGAAACATTCAAGATGATATTTACTTTTCATGTTATCCAGTGATTAAGTAAGAAGAAAAGAATTAAATAGAAAATTACCACTGGAATCTCCGTTAATGCCCCCAGTGACGAGCTCAGGCTCTGTAGAATTACTGGATGAATGGGATCGTGCATCTAATGAGCCCAGAGTCTGCAGCATACTGATGAGACTGTTGGATGTCGGGAACTGCAGGTACTTCTCTGGGACATATCCCACTTGTCCTGCCTTATTCCTTGCCTTTGGATGAAAGAAAAGACACACACATTATTGCAACCTGAAAATATACAATGGCATTAGTTACAACGCTACTCCCCCAAAATAGGGAAAGCTCAAATTATAGTGGCCTTCAATATAATGCTGCTTAACTTATAGCAAAGGTCAACCTTGGGTTCAGGTCAACCAGAAACATGGCACTCCCAGAGCTGATGAGCCAACTTCCTAAACTCAAAACATGGCTGACTTTTAGGACTGTCACTTTCTGGTTGTGGCAGGCACGTAAGGAAGCTCTTTCGTGTCTCCCTGACGTGTGTATGTTTGTAACGTGGCAAAAACGTGGAGACATGACGACCCATAGATTGGACATGTTGTCACACCTTAACTATAATTAGGGCTTTTGTTTAGGGGGGGGTTAAATTTTCATTTACAGGGTCTACTTTTAGCATTTTTGGGAGTTCTACAATATAGTGGTTTACAAGGCTTTCACTTACTTGTAGTAAGAAGATCCAGATGTGCTTGTGCACACAGAGGAGAGAGAGGCGTCTTCATGCATGAGCAGTGCCTCTCCCACACGTTTGCACAGGCGTGTCTGGTGACGTGTTTGTGAGAGAAGCCTTTTTCCCCTCCCTGTGTGCGCAAACACATCTGGAACCCAGACGCAGAGGAGAGTGGGAGAGGCGGAGAAAGAGTAACACATGCGCAGGTGGCATCAGGACAGGTAACCATTTGCGGGGTTTTGTGTTGTGTATTAGCTAAACATCAATTTCTTTTTTTTTGTATCAGGAGTGTTTTATTGGGGTTTTCCGGTTAAAAATAAAAGCCCTACGTATGATACAGCATTTGGGATATTGAACACAGCCGGACACAATACAGCAAGGTTTTCCTTTCCTGACAAGACAATTTTGAACAGTTTTTAAAAGGCAATCTGGAATGTCTCTTGAATCACACTCATACAAACACTAGGATCAATTAACTTGATGCTTTGCTGTAATTCAGAGCAATTGTACAAGATGTCTAAATATCTTACAAAATTTAGCAAATGTATACAGTGACATTTAATAGCAAGAACCAACAGCCGACCATGAGTAATGAGAGGAAATTGCATAATTCTGGTGACAATACAATGAATAGTTACTGAGATTTAATTCTCAGGGGCTCACACACAGACAAAACAAAGTGTCCAAGATTATTTATTTTGAATAAATGAAGTCAGTTAGTTGCTAGATCTGTTGAAATAAACTAAATATTTTAGCTAAGTAGTGACAACTGTTTTTAAATGTTTAATAGGCTGTTTCCAGCGTTTGGTTTTACTTTCAAAGGAACACAATGTATGGTTACATATTCACCCTGAAGGAAGAATAAGGAGTTTAAGATTAAAGAGACCAAATGTACCTTCACCCAATCTTCCATGTCTCCATCTTCAATTACTTCCAAGAGTTCATGTTCCTCAATTGTGAGCTCATCCGGCTGATTTGCCTACAGCACATAAACAAGCATGAGCACAAGAGAATCAGCTAGATAATCACAAACTCTTCTGAGGCAGAAGGGAATAAAGGGGTATAAATGAGGAGTAGGAGTGAGGGTTTAATAATAAATAATCCTTGCATTTGATATAGCGCTTTTCACGTCGGGAGGACGTCCCAAAGCGCTTCACAGAACACACTGTAAAGTGAATTGACTGTATATTTGTGGGCGAACGCGGCAGCCAATTGCGCACAGCAATGTCCCACAAACAGTCGTGGATTGAAAATGACCAATTTATTATTGTTTTGGGTTTTGGAGGGATTATTATTAGGCTCTGTGTGGAGTAAGGAAACTTGCCCAAGGTTTCGCCCTCTGCCTGGAATTGAACTCAGGTCTCTCGCTTGCAAATCGAGTGCTCAACCACTGAGCTACAGGACTCCACAATAATCCTTGCATTTGATATAGCGCTTTTCACGTCGGGAGGACGTCCCAAAGCGCTTCACAGCTTTTTTTTTCACTGTAAAGTGAATTGACTGTATATTTGTGGGCGAACGCGGCAGCCAATTGCGCACAGCAATGTCCCACAAACAGTTGTAGATTGAAAATGACCAATTTATTATTGTTTTTTGAAGGGATTATTATTAGGCTCTGTGTGGAGTAAGGAAACTTGCCCAAGGTTTCGCCCTCTGCCTGGAATTGAACTCAGGTCTCTCACTTGCAAAGCGAGTGCTCTAACCACTGAGCTACAGGACTCCACAGGTTTGTGTGGAGTATAAATACTGGCACAGATTAGTCGGGCCATCTTACCCATTTCTGTGCTGTATCACTAATTAATAAATATCCTTGCATTTGATATAGCTCCTTATAGAGTATTTGAAAAAAATTGAGTTCCTGTACAACATTCCTACCTAATGAAATTCTCCGCATAGTAAAATAACTGCTAAACACTTCAAAACAGTACTAACTATCCTTTGTAAGCAACCGTGAAACCTTGAGCATTTTGTACACAAATCTGGCAGCCAATTTACACTTGATTGTCCCAGATAGCTGTGAAGTAAATGACTAATTTTATCTGGGGGATTGTTGGCCTGGACACCAGGAGAAACTCTCTTCTCTTTTCAAATTGTGCCAGGTCATCTTTAACATTCACATGGACAGAAGACGGGACCTTGGTTTATTGTCTCATTTAAAGGACGGCACCTTCAACAATACAGCAAATCCCAGCACACAGACTGTATGTGCTTCAAAGTCCTGATGTGGGGCTTGAACCTACAACCTAGAACCTACTGACTCAAAAGGTGAGAGTGCTACCAACTGAGCCAGGCTCACACCTAACCTGACAACCTTCACTCACCTTATAAGAGTAGAGCACTTTGCAGGTAAGTGGATACATGCGCAATGTGCCAGAAGGGCTTGAGCTGCTGTCATCAAATACTTCCATGTTCTCCTCCATCTCCTCACCATCATCCTTCTCTAAATCTGGATGTCCCTGTACAAAGAAATAAACGTCATAAATTATCAGTCTCTACAATTTGGTAAACTCCACACACAATCATAAGGTTCCATCCAATTGAAGGCGGACACCAAAGGCAAATGTTTGCTATTCCCTTTAAAAGGGCACAATCTGCTACAAATTGAAAGTTTTGTTTAATTTAGTCATGAGTCGTCAGTAATGATCAGAATCAGGAATGAATCTATGATTAAGGCTGATTGAAATCAATTATTTCTTTTTATTTTAATCAGATAAGAGGTAGGTAAATCAATTATACGTGGACCAAGGTAACTAGGTCGCTCTCACATCACTATATTGTTTCAAATATATCGACCTTTAGGAAACGGATGCAAGCAAACTACAAACAGCATAAATTTGACTTCAGTTAGCTTTCCTGAACAATCAAATACCCAATAAAGGACAACATCTCCTAAAATACTAAGCAATTCCTGGACATTTGCTGTGCATCTCTTTTTGTGTTGCTGCACACAACCATAACAAAGAAAGAAATGGAGACAGCAGTAATAATAATAATCCTTAATAATAATAATAATCCTTGCATTTGATATAGCACCTAATCACGTTGTTGAGACGTCTCAAAGCGCTTCTATAAGGCAACACCAACACTGCTTGTCCTGCTTAAAAGCCTCAAGCTGTCTTGTGTAATTTTGCTGGAATCTGTAGGGCATTTGAATTAAATGTAATTTTTGCATAAGTGGTTAGGATATTTGATGGTACATGAGGCAGTCACTCAGGAAACACTTTTCACTGTGATTCTCCCAGACAAAGTTAGAACGCAATCAGGTACACAACAATCCTGCCCAAACAAAGAAATTACAATGACACAAAACATCTTGTGTTTTCAGTGCTGTTACAGCAGTAGGGTTTAAAAGTACATCATAAAAGCATTACGAATAAGTCTTATGTTTGGATGGATAATCTCAAACTATACAATAATTGGAGTTGCTTGATATTCCAATCAAGAATTGCTCCAGTCTGATATCAGTTGTAGAAAATGATCAATATTTCTGACTTAATTTTTTTTATTGTAGGTTGTCAAAGCACTGTGTTCCTTGCATTTCACATTTTCTTTGGCAGAGAAAGACCTAAGTTCAAATAACAATTCTAAATTTATATAGCAATATTCATGTCAGGGAGGGCATCTCAAAGCACTTCAGAAAGAAGATACATTCTGTCTCATGAATCATCAAACCATCAAGTGACTAACTCATGAACCATCAAATGTCCTACAACAAAATTACATTTGTATAGCGCCTTTCATGTTGAAAGGACGTTCCAAGGCGCTGAACAGTCAGTATTTCGGACCGTAGCTGGGAGTCGGGATTGGGGAGGGTGGGGGGGTGGAAGCAGGGTGATCAAAAGCACGGTTGAAGAGGAGGGTCTTGAGATGGGTCTTGAAAGAGGCAATGGAGGGGGCGAGGCGGAATGACCTTGGGATGGAGTTCCAGAGGGTGGGGGCAGAGTGGCAGAAGGCCGACCGCCAATGGTGGGGTGGGCGAGACGAAGTACGTGAAGATGGCCTATCCACTTACGCAAACATTACATTTAATTTAAAAGCCCCACAAGTAGGTACGTGGAGTCCTGAAGCTCAGTAGATAGAGTACTCGCCTTGCAAGCGAGAGGACCTAGGTTCGATTCTCGGGCAGGGCGAAATGTTGGGCAAATTCCCTTACTCCACATGCCTCTGTTTAACTAGCAGTAACTAGGAACCTGGTTGTTAGTCGATTGGTGGATCGCTTTTCCGGAGATAATAATCCCTTAAAAGAGAAATAATTTGGCCACTCAATCCATAACTGTTTGTGGGACACTGTTGTGCGCAATTGGCTGCCGCGTTTTGCCCACAAAATATACGTCAATTCACTTTACAGTATATTTTGTGAAAAACTTTGAGACGTCTCAAAATGCAACGATTATTTATTATTTTACATTATACTCCTTACATCCGCATATACAGTACCGCTTAATAATAGCAGTGCAGTGATTCAACCCATTGAACCTTGCTTAAATGTTGAATTTTGTTCCACTTCTATATCACACATTAATACAGCAACTCAGCAAATATTTTGTTGACTCATCCAAACAATTTTCTAGACATTAAAGTATGTCGCGGGGGTGAAGTTAAAACTTCGGTGTTGCTGCTTGTAAAATGGTATTTCTACAACGTCAGCACAAATTGCTAGGGTTACAACAAACCAGTGAAATTTCATTTCTTAGCTGTAAACGTAAACGTTGAGTTATCCAGTTTAACACACAAGAGTATTTAAGAGATATTTAAATGCAATTTGTTATTGTTGTCAGATTACGCATCCAAACATTAACAAGATACTCATTAAAGAATGATTTTATGATATATACTCCCATTTTAAGACTTATCTCTTCAAACACACTTATGTTCACCTCCCCTCCCCCTTCTCCCTAGTTTGGTATCCAATCCGAGACCCTATCCCTCGTGAAGAGCGCTATATAGATGCAAGTTGTTGTTGGGAACTGAAACCCTACTGCTCTAATTGAAACCCCAATCTATTATTTTCTGCAGCACATTATAAATATCTGAAGCGATTTTTTAAAAAAATCTATACTGTACATGACACATGTGGCTGAAAGTCGATTCCTAAATGGCAGAGTCCGAAATGGCATTGTCACTGAAAAGGTGCTTACAGGGGAAAACAAACAGCCCTTTGTAAAAGCTACTGACAAAGCTATTTATTATTTATATCATGTGCGTCATCTTATGCCATCTGTTACATAAACACTAATACTCAACAGTATTGTGTGAATGAACCAGCACCAATTTCTGGTCAACTCCTATGATATAATTTCTTTGATGACTCCATGGACAGAGAAGTATTTTGCATTTGTGTACAGAGGGGGAGCAATTCCCCATGTGACCACCAGAGATCACCCTTTGGTAGGAGTGTCTACTCCTGACACAAGACAGAAAGAAGTCAGTCTTGTCAGGTTAGTCGATCGTGGAGGACGTTCAGCGATAATTTTAGTAGGGGTTTCCTTCCTTTAGCCAATCGGCCAATTATTGCACCATAACTGCTGGCCTGGCTGACATCAAATTCAGCATAGACTGGAAAGTTAACCTGTGATCTTCTGCTCTATGTGGCTTAGAGCAATCACAGGCACTGCCTTCACCCATTAGGCCTTTGAGGAGCTGACGGACGCTTTTCTTCTCAGAATGTATTGGCAATGTGAAAAGATAACCAATTAGGTTCTGAGCTTGCATGCACCAAATCCCGAGAAATTGCTGACTATATTGAACATCTCTATGTACGGAAGATAAGTTTGTTATCATTCAAAATGCTTTGCATTAAAAGGTAACCCCTACCCCGAACTGTGACTTGTTTATGTATTTACCTCGAGTCGATACTGTACTGAAACTGTGATGAAACATGACCTACTCAAGCTACAGTAGGTGCAAAAATCCCTAAGGCATTCGTTTTTACACTGGTACAGCTCAAACTCTGTGTGTGTCCTGTTAATTGAATGGTTGCATGTGCACGTGTGTCTTGCTGAATAAAACGTGTGGCATTGAGAGCAGTCAGCAATATCCCACAACAGTCTGAATATCAGGCGTTGTTGAAGCCAAAGCTAGGAGACTGTAAAAGGGTATGATCTAGTTCTTGTCAGGAGTACTCAAAGAGATCAAGTCAAATCCATTCATCTTGCTGTAGCGTGCGACGCAAATTGACTCAAATCCAAAGTTAACATCTGTGAGTTGTATCAATAAACGCAGCCCCGGTTTCTGTAGTCAAAAGCTTTACCCATTCAGCTGCCAATAACATCTGAAACAAACTTTGCGAGTATTTTTTTGATAACTCCCCCAAATGGAATTAACATTAAGAAATACACAATCCCCTCCCGAAATTCCAGGAAGCGAGCTCCAAGGTGAAACCTTGTGGCGTCACATTTATTCTATCCATCTTTGTTGCTCTCCTTTCTCTATTAAATATTAACACTTTTATGAGGATCAATTTGCAGAGTGAATACATCCCTGGTTTGCTGCAGGCCAGAAAGACAAAATGTTGTGAAATAATTATGAAGTGTGTGAATAGACTTTTATTTGCACAAAAACACAAAGGCTACAGCTACTATTTTGTTGAGTCAGTGTTATTAACTCCAGCTTTAAAGAAACAATTGCAGAAAGAAATCACACGCGAGGTTACAAGAAATAGCTAGTGTCCACTAATGAGACAGAGCTGAGAGTTGACATATTATGCGTTAACCTGAGCGTAAATCTATAAATTGATGAACAACTGGAAATGATTATAATGATCCCTGCATTTGTTGTAGTGCTTTTTACTTTGGAAAGATGTCTTAAAACACTTCACAGGACTCGATGTAAAGTGTAGTGACTGTGTATTTTTTTGTAGGCAAAGGCAGTACCTAATTTGCACATACCAATATCCCACAAACAGTCATGAAGTGAGCAACTAATTTGGTTTGTTTCCAGCACTTTGGGACATTCTCCTGACATGAAAGGTGCTTATAGAAAAGCAATTTGTTGTTATATACTGCACTATTTGAAACAAGAAGGAAGTTTTTTCCAGCGTCCTAACCAACAATCCTCTTGATAAATTGGTCATCACCTTATGGTTCTTTTGGATCTCATTTTGCCCCCAAAGACTGCCATTTATGAGGAATTATTCTGCAGTACCAATATACAATTTCCTTTCCAAACCCAAGACAAAGAAACCTGCCAACTCACAAGCATCGACTTGCACTTCTCTAATTGGCAAGCACAAAAAATCAGTTATCTCCTTTCAATATAACCCAATCTACCCCAATCTAAACATTAATCTGTAAATTACAAACTGTGCCTCATGGGATGAATAGCCTCTCATTGTCCTGACCTTACATTCCTGCCAAATATAATGGCTGATTTGCACATAACAACATAAAATCTGATGCAGTTAATTTCTTAAAGAAATTAGTACAGTTAATTCTCCCTTAAATGGGTGCTAGTACAATCCCTCAAGTACAAGGCTTGAACTTGCAATAAATATGGTTGGAAACTGGATAAGGAAGCTTCTTACACTCTTCACTTTGTGCTGCTGTGAAAAAGCCAGTAAAGGGTGTACAAATACAGCGTGATGCTTTATGTCCTTCCCAGTGGGGAATTGCTTGACCTCATCTCAGTACTTCTCAATGGTTTCATGGCTGGGATTAGGAACTCAGCAGTGCGGGGGTTTCCGTACAAATATCATGCTATTCACATTGGGGGAAGTTCACATTTCTAACATTTTCCTGCAAGACTTTATTGCTGGCCAAGGATCATGTTTCGTGACATCTGCACTATAATGAAGGAATGCAACAGCCTAACATTACTACCGACCTGTGCTCTGGCTATGTGCACAAGTTCCACCATCCAATAATGTCATCTATCTGCTTCCTTTACAGTTTTCTTTTCCCCTTAATCGCTAGTTTTCTGAACTAATTTTCTTTCCCCATGCTGCTCTTTTTCTTCTGCTGGGATGTATGGTTCCATGAGTGTTGGTTACCTTCTGATAACTCACCCAAGTGGGCACTTATGTTAGTGTGTTTACTGCATGGTGATAGGGTTTTCCATCATGTGACGGGAGGTCTAGATACTCTCATCTAACATTCTGCAACAAGGTGGGAAATGCTGGGTGACTATCAGAAATGAGAACACATACCAATTTTCTCTCATTTGGGTGCTTGAGAGCATTAGTGCTCCAGGATGCTGCCCTGCGTAAAGGGTGCTATATAAATGCAGGTGGTTGCTGTATTTGTGGTGGTGCTCCGAGACACTGCACCGCTTGAAGGAGCGCGATGAAAGCTTGCTGTTGTTGGTGTCTGAAATGCTGTACACTGTCCAGCTCCTTGGGACATCCTCCCGACTTGAAAGGCGCTATACAAATGTAATCTTGTTGTTGTTGTTGTGTCTGTGCAATGTGCCTGTTGAGATCAGCTAACTCAGTTTAGACCCGATATTGAAAGCCACAATGTTTTAGCGACAGATAATCAGTTAAGAACAGTTGCTAATTTGGAGATCTGGAAAGCTGGTGAAAATACAATTTTGCCAAAGCAAAGCAAAATTGTGTTCAGAGTAAACAGGAAATTTCTGAAAACTGTAGATAGAAAAGTCTGCATCACTGAATTGATTTTGCGTGCATTTGTCTTTCAGCTTCTCATTAAAAATACATGTAGGATTCATCAGAACAAAGATAATGGCCAGATTACATAAAATACAAAGCAAAACTCATCTAATAATATTACTCAAGTGGTTATTTGGCTCACAATTTCTCTGCGTGCCTGCTTTAGCTGTTTCTGTCCTCATTATTGGGTGGTGTTGGAACATGTTTACCATCTGGAAAATCTGGTAATGTTTATTGCTGGCTTGAAAGACAGTAACCTTAATAACTCAGCTTTTAGAGACAATGCTGGACCTATATTACTTCCTACAGTACTGAAACATGTTATTCTTACTTTTAGTTTTAATGTTCTGAAGATATTCATAGTCGCAACAATGAGCAATACATGAAACGTGCATTATGATCTGCTGATTGACTAGCAGTTGACAGGTCTCGAAAAGGGAACAGAATAAGACTGAACAGTTATGATATATGCTTGTAGCCATATTCATTGGGAGGTGCTCTTCCCATGTGAATTTGCACAAATCCTTTCCTAGGATTTTAAGAAAACAAATTAATAATAATCCTTGCATTTGATACAGTGCTTTTCACATTGGGAGGAGGACCTCCTGATGTGAAATGTACAATATAAATATAAATTATACTGCAAGACACAAAGCACTTCTCAGGATTTACTGTAAATAATAATAATAATCCTTGCATTTGCTATAGTGCCTTATCACGTCTTCGACACGTCTCAAAGTGCTTCACAGAATATATACAGAGGCGTGTGGAGGAAGGAAACTTGCTTAACATTTTGCTCCACCCACGAATCAAACTCGGGTCGTCTTGCTTGCGAGGCGAGTGCTCTAATCAATACTCTACAGGACCTTACAAGTCCAGTGACTTTATATTTTCTAAGCGAATCCAGCAGCCAATTTACGCACAGCAATGTCCCACAAATACCCATAAACTGAAATCTAACCTAACCAAATTCAGTGCAGCCTGTACCTTTTCCCCTCAATTTTAGTTTAAGTTTATTATAACAACTTTCACTTCTAAAGCACTTTCTAATGTAGCCTAATCATTGAAGCACTGAACAAATATGATGGGGAGCACCTATTTTCTACTCGTTTAACATAGACCACAACAACATTTATACATTTGTATAGCATCTTTCACGTCGGGAGGACGTCCCAAGGCCTACACAGTGTGACACAATGAAGATATTAATTTCTCTAATTTAATTATCATAGTTTGATACATTACTTTCCCAAAAGCAAACTACATTGTATTTCTCCCACAAAATACAGTCAATCCACTTTACAGTATATTCTGTGAAACTCTTTGAGCTGTCTCAAAGACACGATAAGGCACTATATGAAATGCAAGTATTATTATTATTTTGCCAATTCTTTTGTCAATATGTGGCATTCTAAGCATAAAAGACATATGTAGATTAGAAATACTGAACAAAATCCAAGCTAATGTTATATAGTCTTACCACGTGTACAGACTCACTGTTGGGGAGTGAGGGAAGGCTGGCCCAGCGCTCGTTTTCCAATTCTTCCATCACTTGATTCATGGCGCTTTTCAGCCAAGTATCCACGGCAACCCCAATCTGTCTCAATAATTCCAGCCGCGCTTCTGCCTTCAGCTTAACTGTCTGCGAAGCAACAACGTTCATTATTTTTCAAAAAAAAACACTAAACCTTTATGTACCTGAACAATATTTATGTGTAAAAGAAAATGGAATAACCATTAGTTAAAGAAAACCCTTATTTGAGTTCTTTCATCTTCCAGACAATAATTCTGGGCTACTTACATTCAATGCACACATTACTGAATTGAAGCCATTTCATAAGGTTCGATTCATAACTAAAGTACAAATGTAACTGCACAAAAATACATCACCTAATCATCATGTACATTTTCTTTACAGTGTCTATACATAAACTTCAACACTTTGACCTGAATGTTTATTGCATTTATAGAGTGCCAAACGCTCCTGAATTCTACCCTGCATGAGGGGCGCTATATAAATATAAGTTGTTTTAAATGTACAAAACCAACTGTGGGGGCAGGGTGGGGGGGAGAAGGGAAATGGGGGAAGAGAAAGGGGAAAAGTAAAAAGGAGACTCAACTTCAGCCAATTTTGCATTCTTCCGAGCGGATTTTTAAGAGTGAAATTGGAAATTTCCTGGCAACAATTCATCTGCCTGCTTGTTGAGAAATATTATGCAATAAGGGCCTAAATACAACATTAACAATTTCATAAAACAAGAGAATAATAATTAAGCAAATGGACCAAGGAGTGGCAGATGTAATTTCATGTTGATGAATGCAAGGCAATACATATTAGAACTAGAATCATGTACGTTCACAATAAAGGGCTGTTCATTAGCAGAAGTGGAAGAGGAACAGGATTTAGGTGTGGTTAGTGTGAAGTTGCTTGCAACAAGACTAACTGCATATTAAGTTTACATCTTGAGGGGGTTTGATTATAATTCAAAATATCTTGTTCTGAACTTATGTAGATCACTGGTGAAGTCAGTTATGAAATACCGGGTGGAAATACAGTTATGTAACAATTATTGCTGATGATCAGAGTTTGACTGATATTCGTGTAGTGGGATAAGAAGGTAGTGAACATGGATGGTGATAAAGATGGTGCTTCTTAGAAGTGGACCAAAACTTTTAGACCAAACCATTGTGACAAAGTTTGGGGACAAGGTGTTATTTCCAAATGGGTCAATAATTAAAATCATGTTGGATTACATATTTTACACTTTGATAATTATCAACAATGATAATTATGGATCCCGAGTTTCAGAAAACTGCTGCAGGGGAGATAGGTCAAAAAAACTAGGAAAACTTCAGAATTTAGGAATCTACAGTATAAGGAGAGGCTCGAAGAGCATAATTCACATTGCAGGAAAAGGTTTTATACACACAAATCATCTCCATCTTCATCAACCTCTACTTTCTCCCAGAACCTTAAGAGGATTGAAGTCAAGACCCTTGTCCTCATCATCAAATCCCTTTATTATCACACCCCAATCAACCTCTACAATTGTCCCCAACAATATATTCCATATGAATTGCTTGCTTTTCAAGATCTATCTCTTTGATTGAACTTTGGGCCACCTTCAGTGCCTTGGGACGTCCTTCTGATTACAAATGTCATTTTGTATTGTATCTTTCCCCTTCCCCGTCAGCTCCCACCCCCAGGTTGGGAACTCAGCAATTCGAGTCATCCCCAGATGCAAACGGTGAAACATAAATATAAACTATAATAATAATCCTTGCATTTGATATAGCGCTTTTCACGTCGGGAGGACGTCCCAAAGCGCTTCACAGAACACACTGTAAAGTGAATTGACTGTATATTTGTGGGCGAACGCGGCAGCCAATTGCGCACAGCAGTGTCCCACAAACAGTCGTAGATTGAAAATGACCAATTTATTATTGTTTGGGGTTTTGGAGGGATTATTATTAGGCTCTGTGTGGAGTAAGGAAACTTGCCCAAGGTTTCACCCTCTGCCTGGAATTGAACTCAGGTCTCTCACTTGCAAAGCGAGTGCTCTAACCACTGAGCTACAGGACTCCGATTGCTTCCCAATGCCTTTGTTCTACAATCAGTGATTGAGCCTTAAGCTACCATGCTCCATTCTTTTAGGTGGTTTCACAAAACCACTTTGGCTTGCTACCTTTGTGTGCCATTGTTTATACTCCCCTTAACCCTTCATCCCTTCTAATCCCCTCTCCTAAACCCAGCTAGTCCCTTCTTCTTAATGTATGAATCAAGTTTCCTCTTAAATAAGTTTTCTCTGTTCACCATCCATCAAATAACTACCAAACTATTTGAGACTTTCTTTTTAAGAGTTAAAATAATGTTGGGGACCCAGTGGTAACATCAAAACCTCTAGAGTCAAAACCTCGAATTCAAGATCCTCATCCTCGCCTACAAGGCCATTCACGGCCTCGCTCCCTCCTACCTCTCCGACCTACTATCCCCCTACCTACCTGCCCGTACCCTCCGTTCCTCTGGCTCCGGTCTGCTCCACATCCCCCGCCCCAACCGCCCTACCATAGGTGGTCGGGCCTTCAGCCTCTCAGTCCCGAGGCTCTGGAACTCTATCCCCCAGTGCCTTCGCCGCCTCCTCCCTTTCCTCCTTCAAGGCCGGTCTCAAGACCTTTCTCTTTGACCGTGCCTTCAGCTCCCCTCTCGATCCTCTCCTCTGCCAGACAATATTATCATACTTGGAAGATAATCCTGCACTGTACCAGTGTAACTGTTCTTTGGTTTCCACACTGCTCACTCACTACCCTAATGGACACTCCAAATAAGGTCATACATTCATTTGTAATGATTAATAGGCCATTTTTTGCTGTAAACTCACACAATGGCTTGCAACTTTTCAAACTCATTTACAGTCAGATCGCTATCAGTCCATCAGCAACATAAAGTAGTTGTAGGGGGCTTTTTCAGTTTACCATCAAAATTCCTAAATATCTTCTGACAAAGCTGCAGTTTAACAGCATTTTTACAATGCAGGGTCTTCAGGGTGCTATTTGATACACTTTTTGTTTAATCACAAGCTGGTTTGAAACCCCTCCCCCCAGATTTAGCAATGATTCCAGGGAAACAAGAAGGCATTATTTCATAGTGTTAATCAGGAATTCACAAACCTCTGTGGCAAAACTCCACTTCACATATTTCACAAATATCCCAGCTTTCCTCTTCATACACATGATTAAACACTGAGGCCAAATGTAATTTTGTTCTAAAAAGGCTGTCTATATTGATCATTGTTAGTTACATCTTTTGGGATTCAGCTGATGGAAATTAGTCCTGCCCTCATGCTGCTTAAAACAACATGGTTTGTGATGCAAAGAACAGATAAGAAAACTTTAGAAACATATAAGCAAAAACAACAAAATTACATTTGTATAGGGCCTTTCACGTCAGGAGGATATCCCAACGCGCTCGACAATCATTGCTTTGGACCCAAACTGGGTGTTCGGATCGGGGAGGGTGGAACTCAGGGGGATAAGGAGGATGATTGAAGGCACAGACGAGGTGGAGGGTCTTGAGACAGGTTTTGAAGAAGGCAATGGAGGGGGCGAGGCACAGGGACTGCGGGATGGAGTTCCAGAGGGTGGGGGCAGTGGCAGAAGGCCTGCATGACAACGGTGGGGCGGGAGAGGCGGAAAACATGAAACAGGCTGGAGCGTGCGGAGCGGGCAGGTTGTTAGGGGAGGTAGGAAGTCGCAGAGGTGGGGGGGCTTCAAGGCCATGGAGGGTTTTGAAGGTGAGGAACAGGATCTTGAACTGTATCCTCTGTGTGATGGGAAGCCAGTGGAGTCAGGCATGGATGAGAGTGATAGGATTACGGAGCCTGGTGTGGGAGAGGACATGGGATGCAGAGTAAATATTGAATATAGTTTGTGCATATGAAAACAATTAAATTGTCAAGCCCTTTTGTATGTTCATATATCCAATTGATGTAACTGCTGTTTTAAATTGGTTTGATTCCTCAGATAATAAGAATAATAATCTTTGCATTTGATATAGGGCCTTATCACGTCGGAAGGACGTCTCAAAGCATTTCACAGGATAGTGTAAAATGGAGTGACTTGTGTATCTGTACACAAACGCTGCAGCATAATTGCACACATCAATGTCTCACACACAAAACAAATTACCAATTTTATTTGGGGATTTTTGGTCTGGACACCGGGAGAAATTCCGTTCTCTTCTTGAATAGTGCCACTGGATGTTTAATGTCCGCCTGAACAGGCAGTCAGGACGTCTCATCCCAAAGATGGCACCTCTGACAATGCAACACAACCCCCAGCACTGCATTGGGGTGTCATCTTAGACCATGTGAGTTTAAATCCCGATGAGGGATTTGAACCCCCCAACCTTGATGCAATACCTTAAACTAGAGAAGGAACAAATGCTTTCAGCAAATGAGAACTATGTATTGTGGATGCACACCACGCATCAGATTTCTAATTATTTCATTGAATGCATTTTGAACTCAAAGGGGAAGAGTAAATGCTGCCCAGAATTCTTTCTGTTTCCTTTCCTAACAGACAAGCACATCAATACGTATTGAACTTATCAGACTAAAACAAAACACGGATAGAAAAAATGCTGATTGAGTTTCATTCAAAAACTATATATTTTAAAGACACAATGTGTTTTTTATTTAAAATTTATTTTCTTAATTTGGATTTCCTAAAAGAACTCTGTGACTGTCCTTTTGCTGCTAAAGACTGTGTGCAAAGTGATGCAGGGCAATTTTTCCCCATTTTCTATCATTTCATTCAGTCAATAGTAACTCACCTCCTTAATGGCCAGTGATCACCAACTTCCTTTCATCGCAAAGCTACTTAGCTAATGTCAGGTTGTCAACAATAATTTGTATTTGAAATAGAGCTGAGTGACTTCCTGCTCTGTCTGGATCCTGATCAGAAGCTAACTAAATCAGAAAAAAATAATAATATTTGCATTTGATATAGCACCTTATTACACCGTTGAGACGTCTCAAAGCACTTTGCAGAGTATACTGTAAAGTATCGTGACTGTATATTTTGTGGGCAAACCGCGGCAGCAATTGCGCACAGCAGTGCCCCACAAACAGTCGTGGATTGAGTGACCAGATTATTGTTATTTATTTTGGAGTGATTATTACCCCCAGAAAAGCGATCCGCTGAGCCACAAGACTCCACAGATTGAGGGGATGGAGGGATTGAACCACGAGAAGCGAGTAGGTAAACTGGGCATGTTCACACTGGAAAAGAAAACTCAGTGCCAGATAAATACCATGCCGTACATCTTCAACCAGGGTGTCAGCCTGGCTCAGTTGGCAGGACACTCGCCTCCGAGTGAGGTTATGGGTTCAAAGCCCACGTTTGGACATTTCAGCTCATAGTCTACACTGACACTGCACTCACTGTGTTCCTCCCAATTAATTGTTAAACCGAGGACCTGTCTCCATGTTTAGATGGATGTTAAAGATCCCCTGGAACTATTCAAAAAGTGAAGAGAGTTTCTTACAGTGTCCTGGCCAATAATTCCCCAAATAAAATGAACCATTCACTTCATGGCTGTTTGTGGGAGATTACTGTGTGCAAAATGGCTGCTGCATGTGTTTACCAATACAAATCACTCCACTTTACAGTAAATCGTGCAAAGTGTTTTGAAAAGTCGACAACATGATAAGGTGCTATATATCAAATGCAAAGATAATTATATATTATTACAACAACAAATTACATTTGTGTAGCGCCTTTCAAGAATGATTTCTACTTTCTCAGATAGTTGCCCACTACCTTTCCCCAGGCTGCTGTTAGACACCTGCACCTGGCTTCCTTAGATTAAGCCAATTTCCGATTCACTTCAAAAGGTCCATGAGTTCTAATCTTCAGAACCAATCTCCTGTGTGAAATTTGCTGAAACCATTGCTAAACTTTAAATTTATTTATTGAGTTTCTCAACTACTCATTGTGTTGATTTTTTTTAGAAAAATGCTGCAGCCATTTTGCACACGGCAGGGTCTCACAAGCAACCATAAGAATTTTATCTGAATGATTGTTGGCCAGGACACCAGTTCAGACTCTTCTTGAATTGTTTTATGCGATATTCAGCATCCACCTGAACAGGCACATTGGGACACTGGCTTAATATCTCGGAAAGATAGCGCCAATAACCATGCAAATCTCCCTCAGTACTCATTCTAGTTACAACCTTTAAACGAGTTGAGACATCTCAACAACGTAATAAGTGCTATATCAAATGCAAGGAATATTATTTTATTAGTGTCAACCTAGACCTTATGATGATTTGCAGGTTGTAAAATAAGGCTTTGTGTGTGAAAAGTTTTTACTAACCTCTTATAATCAATACTACTAAAAATAGGAGAAAAATTCAAGCATTTTGTCTTTGTTTATCAAAAAAATCTACAGGTACTTCACAGGTGCTTTCTCTTCCACATTTTCTACTTAACCTCAGTCTCTCTTCTCCAGTCCGACAGCTAAACACTCTGCAAAAGTACGTATTGCAAATATGTTAAAGGGTTCACTTTACAACAGTGACTGCAGTCAAATTATTTGGATTTACTCCAAATATTTGCATCTGTAGAGTCCTGCAGCTCAGTGGTTAGAGTACTCGCTTTGCAAGCGAGAGATCCGAGTTCAATTCCAGGCAGAGGGCGAAACCTTGGGCAAGTTTCCTTACTCCACACAGAGCCTAATAGTAATCCCTCCAAAACAAAACAATAATAAATTGGTCATTTTCAATCCACGACTGTTTGTGGGACACTGCTGTGCACAATTGGCTGCCACGTTCGCCCACAAATATACAGTCAATTCACTTTACAGTGTGTTCTGTGAAGCACTTTGGGACGTCCTCCCGACGTGAAAAGCGCTATATCAAATGCAAGGATTATTATTATTATCTAAAACAAAGCTGACCACATAAATTTGTATTTTAGACATTAATTTGTAAATCAGAGATTTCAAATATTTAAACAAAATCTCAAATACAAATATTTCTATTCAAACTTGAGCTCAATAAATTATTCAATTAAAATTGAAAAGGTTACAGGTTATGGAATAGGTTATGGAAAAGAGCTATTTGTTTCATGTTACTCCTGACTATGTCTGACGGCACCATATGAGGGAGCCAAAGAGTTATTAGTTGGACTCATAAACCTCACAAGGAATATTAATGTTAATACTAATATTAAGTCAGGAAAACACAATAATATTCCTTGCTATTGTTATAGCCCCTTGTCACGTCGTTGAGACATCTCAAAGCGCTTCACAGAATATATTGTAAAGTAGATTGTGGGAGAAATGCGGCAGCCAATTGCACTTAGTAGTGTCTCACAAACAGTCATGGATTGAGTATCCAATTTTTTTTATATAAACGGAATCAGAAGAGAAGGCCATCAAGCCCACTCCCAACTTGTACTATCTTAGACATGTTCAGTCTCTGAAGGAACTGATGGATAATGAGAAAAAACATCCAAAATGAACAACTCCTCCAGGTTATTTGGAAAAAAAATCCACAACATCAAAAACAACAATCCTTGCATTTGATACATCATCTATTTCAGCAAAATGTCTCAAAGTTTTCAGAATTTTCCGTCACCTAGCAGCCAATTTTTACACAGGAACATCCTGCAAATGGTCATGAAGTGAAAAGCCATGAACTGAATGACGAACTTAATCTGGGGAATGATAGCCATGACACCGAGGAAAACTCCCTTCTCTTTTTTAATATTGCACAGGATCTTCAATGTCCACGTGAACAGGATGACCGCATCTTGGTTTAACATCTCATCTGAAGGACAGCACCTCCAACAATGCTCACCTCCCCCAGCACTGAACTAAAGTGTAGGCCTAGACTATGAGCTCAAAGTCTTTTTGTTGGCCTTAAACCGGTTATCTTCCGAGTTGGAGGCAAGAGGTCTACTAATTGAGCCAGGCTGACAATCTAACACAACAACCTACCTCAGCAAGTCAAACCCAACAGGGAGAAAACTAGTACATCAAATAAAAATAAGCAACAGACAAACACAGCTTTGCTAGGAGTCTGTAACACATGGAGTATTCTGTGGGAGAATTTTATATTTAGTTTTGCTTGAAGCTTATTCATTTTGCATTTTTATACAGATTATTCATGTAGAAGAACATCTAATGTAATGGTGCGCATAGAGCAGGGAAGAGATTTCGAAAAGGTTGACCAAATGCAAAGTCAAAGAGTTATGCTTTTCAAAGCAGGGGGTAAAGTAATGAGGCAAAGTGATTTGGGATGGAGTTTTGGTGTACAGGGGCATGTGCCGAAAAGTGCACGTGGCCACAGCAATAGACCAGAGTTAGAACAATAGAGGGTTTGATCCAGAGAATATGGGCTGGAGGAACAGGCTGGAGAAATAATAATAATAATTCTTGCATTTAATATAGTCCTTTACCACATCTTCGAGATGTCTCAAAGCGCTTCACAATATATAACTGTAAAGTGTAGTGACTGTTTTGTGGGTGAAATGTAGCAGCCAATTGCGCATTGCGATTGGCTGTTTCATGTTCCATTTGTCAATATGTTTTGCGCACTTTGCTGATGTACTTGTAATGAGAGTGTCCATTGTAGGCACACATTGTCAGATTTCACTAATCTTATCTGCACATGAGCAAACTCTCCTAACAATGTTGCACCCTCTTTATTCGGCTACTGTTGTCTGAGTTGCTATTTTACTTTTCCCTTAGTGATATGTTCATTCCATATCCACCACTCAAATGTCCTCCTCGTCGGTCTCCCCAGCTCCACGATCCATAAAATCCATTACTTCACCGCTCACATACTCACCTGCACTAAACTCCGTACCCCAATCACGCCAGTTCTAGTCAGGCTCCACTGGCTCCCTATCACTGAACAGATCGATTTCAAGATCCTCACACTCCCCTTCATGCCCTTGCACCTCCCTACCTCTCCGACCTGCTTACTCCCCAACCCTCACCCTCCCCGATGCACCCACTCGACCGGCTCCAGTCTCCTGCTTGTCCCTCGTGCCCTCCATTCCACCATTGGTGGCCGCGCTTTTACCCACTATGCACCGAAACTCTGGAACACTCTCCCTCAATTCCCCCGCCTTGTTCCATCCTTCCCCACCTTCAGGTCACGGCTGAAGACTTTCCTCTTCAACCGTGCCTACAGTCACCTCCCCCAGGCTCGGCAGCGTGCTCTGTCACTGTCAAGCGCTCTAGGCGCTATCCTGCATGAGCAGTGCTCTATAAATGCAAGTTGTTGTTATCATTTCAAACAGGCTTCAAAATTAATTTTTTCTTCTATTTTCATGGTCTATTTCCCGCATAATTCTTCATCGCCCCAATATCTCTCTTTTAACATCCCGCAGAACTACAGTGGAGCTCCATTACAACACGGTGGTTGGAATCGATAAAATCCGAACTGGTATTATAGTGGAGGCTTCACTGCACACACACGTTGCCAGACGCTTATTTCCCACCTGCCGGCTGTCTCTTTCTCTCGCACCCAGGAGTATCTGACCTCCATGGTCACAAAGTTGTGCCCACATCACTTGCTGAGCGCAGAGGAAGTGATGTCTGCAATAACCTTATGACCTGGAAGTTGACCTTTTTAAGTGCATTGGCAGCCAACGTGGCTGATAGGAAGTGACATAACCAACATCATGACCTAAGTGGAACACATAAAAATTATGTTGCTAATGACATATTGAGCTGGAAATTGTTGAATTTTAGCATTGGGATCAGCCAACACTTGCAAATAGAAGTGTCTGGATGCATCTGCAGTGATGAGGTCCACACACCACACAAACTATGTTCTAATGGGACTATACCGTATATTATTTTTAGCTGCAACATTTATTACATCAGTCTAGACAGTGTTTCAGAAAGAATCACGTTCTGCCACAAATTGTTTCTTACCTCAGCTTTCCGAATAGTCTCTTTAGCCTCTTCTATTTTTTGTTCCAGTTCAATTCTCCCTTGTTCTGACACCACAACTCCATGAGCCTTTAGATCATCCAGGGTCTGACATCCAAAGAAACAATGCTTAATACAGTATATAATTGTGGCCAAACGTCTGATGTACTTTTTAAGGGATGAAAGACCAAAAATAACCAGAAGGACAAGATGAACGAAAGCTCAGATAACCAAACCCTAGTGTCTTTAAAAAGTCAGACCATTCAGAAGAAACCAAAGCTTTATTGCATGGTCATGAATAATGTGTACTCATTGCTAAGGTAAACAGGTATCACTTTATATAAATTATCTGAAACAATGCATTTTCTACAGAGGAATAACAATCCAGGATCATTTTTCAAGTGAATCCAGGCCACACTTATACACACTACCGAAACAATCAGTCAGTGGCAATGACATCTAGCAGAACAAGCATTTCTTGCAGGGGCAACTTTAACCTTGACACAACAGTCATGAATAAAATAGTCCCATTTTATTCAAAAACAATATCACTTTGTATTTGTGACGTGCACTTACCCTCTGGCTGTGGATGATTGTTTTGTGTTCTCGTGCGACACGCGTTGCCCATCTACGAGCCTCCTTGTTAAGACTGTGCTCTTCTGTGGTTCCCGATTCAGGCTCCAATTGCCGACTCTGTAATATTTCGTAGCAAGAATGGGTGACCATGGCTCGTTCAAAACAACACTTGGGCATTATTTTGTTTCGAGGAATCCGACTTATCCAATAGGTTTCATTTCGCAAGTCCATTGGCTTACACTAAGAGTTATTTTGCCCCATCATCCTCCATAACAACAAATGTGTGGAGGTTTGGTTGCATTGATAACTTTGTTGAGAGAATATGCAGAAGAGCAGTACAGTCACGCTAACTCTGGAAATGGAATGGTGGAATAGCTCATAGATACTGCTGACAGCAAAAAACTCTCCTTACAGCACTTTGATAATTATGATGCAATGTTTTTTAATATCAAGATATAATGGAGTTATATCCTGCCAGTCCAGGAATCTCATCACAAAGGTGACTGGTAGATCCATGTAATGGGAAAAAAGACGGAGACAATTTTTAACAGTAGTCATGGTTTGCTTCTTAAAGGAAAAGGACATTTGGGTTGAAGTCAACTCCAAATATTCCCCGTTCGAAAAGGTGCTGAAAATTGTTATTGCATCTCCATTAAAAAACGTATTCCCATTTATTAAGAAGCACCAAGTCAGGTCTCAACATAGGATACAGAAATCCATTCGGACAGGGTGTTCAATGATTTAGGTTCTGGGTGGTTACCCTTGAGATTACATGCAAACAAATGGGATTATATCCATTTAGTTCATTTTACTTTAAAATATGGTTTATTGATTATGTAATATTGAAATGCCTCTAATTAAACTATATTGAAAGTTTATGACAATTTTCCCAACTAGATTTAAATTTGTCAGTAAAGCTTTCATAACAATCAATGCCTTGTCTCTTATTAGTATGCTACTGTGGAGTAAAGCTCTTAACTTTGGCAGCTATTTAGCGATGTTATAATAGCTATGCTTTCGTGCTGTTAAGAATAAAGCTCTAGCTGTAGCAGCTATTTGGCTGATTGTTGCAGATTTTTTTTAATATAAAGTTGACATCATCAGAATCTGGGTGTGAAACACAATTAAAGCTGCTCTTCTACATTGTCTCCTAGATTTCAATACCAATTAGCAATCTTCACTGTACATCAGCAACATGCAAAGCACCACCACTTGATCAGTCTCTACATAACCATCCACCTTTATAATCCATTGATTACTCATTCTTACATGTAGGGCTTTAAAACAAACTTCAGGTACATTAATCCCTATTTCTAGCTTTCTTGGATCCCAAAATACTTCAGCTCTTTGTTCGTGAAGTATCATTCTAGCATTCAACATATAATTACACAAACTGTACAGGCCATCTAACCCAACTAGTCCGTACCAATATTTATACTCCGCAAGCTTCCACCCCTCATAATCCCCTTGTCCCTCATGTACACTTCATATCAATTAACACATCCATAGGGCTCTTACAGCTAAAGACATAGTTAACTGGATAAATAATTTAGTCTGAGCTGGTTAACTGCCTGAATCTGGAAAACTATGTTGCAATCAAATGTATTTTTTTGCTTCACTCAAGGGCTCTGTTATCCAAATAACCTGTTTACTGCAAAAAAATCTGAAAACTCTCCCAAATTAGATTGTATTATAGAATCCATCTCAGTTGAATTAATTTAGAGCATGATCAAAGCATCACTTACTGCATACAAAAACAAATCCCAAGAATAGTCAGTCAGAAAACACTTTGAAAGCAACTGAATCCATAAAGTTCATAATAAACTTATAAATTGGGTTACAAAAAAGTGAGTTGTTCTAATGTGAAAGACGCTATGTAAATGTTAGTTTGTTGCGGTCGAATGCCGCATACTTACATCAGTTTTATATCATGAAGGCAGTTGCATGTTAGAACTGCTTATGATGAGGTACATTTAACTGTAATGTTTAATTCGATAAATGATACATGTGCACTAGTCAAGCAGATCGTAAAAATCAGTCAGACATGGGAGAGATCAGTTAACAGATTGCCCACATGGTATTTAGTAACACAACTTTTCTCATGAATTATCTTTTCTATTTTTAAAAGGATTCACATTCTTTGGGGGTGGGGAGGAAATCCTAAGCAGACTCCAACAGAATGTTAGTCAGGACCATTACATTTTCAGCCTTTAAAACCCTAACCCTTTCTTAATTTAAGTTGTCCTTTCTCTACTCTTTCTAGTCATGACCAGTTAACTAGAAGGAAATAGGGATGACTCTTAAGAAATCGAGCCATCACAGCCAAGCCCAATCCTGTCTTCACCTGACCACACAAATACATTTGCAGTCAAGGTTACTGGAAAATAATCAGGAGTAGCAAACTTCCTTAGCCTGATTACTGAGACCAACTATAGCACTCCAGCAGGGATCAGCTAACTTGTGCACAGATGCGATCAGGCTTTAAGCCTCGCTCATACTGCATTTTCACATCAATTTGGCACACTGAACAGAGACAAAATCCTGTGTAGAAAAATGGACAAGAGGCATGGCAGGCCACGCTGAAAAGCTGCCTGCCCGCTGTTTCCTAGTTGGAGGAGTTTGCACCAGTAATCGATTTTCAACCGTTTGCAGTACAAACGCAGGCAGTGCAAATCAATTCAGATTCTGCTCAAAAACAAGCCCTTCAAAATTACTGATTGGTCCAAGGGTGACTATCCGTTTTATTATTGAAGAGCTGCCTGCTCTTTTGACTCTGTAGTGATATTAAATATCAACTGGTTTAGTTGTAATAATCCCTCCAAAACCAAAAACAATAATAAATTGGTCATTTTCAATCTATGACTGTTTGTGGGACATTGCTGTGCGCAATTGGCTGCCGCATTCGCCCACAAATATACAGTCAATTCACTTTACAGTGTGTTCTGTGAAGCGCTTTGGGACGTCCTCCCGACGTGAAAAGCGCTATATCAAATGCAAGGATTATTATTATTATTGTGCATGTACAGAGCTCTCCTCAGCTTAGTCGATGAGATTACTGAACAGGAAGCATGGTATAAATCATCGTTGGGGCTCCTAATTGTTTCATTGCTACAAGTGACAGCAGTTGAAACCAGGCATTACACATTCCTGGCGAGGTCACGAAATACCATGCCGGAATTACTGGAATTTTCTGCAGTGCTCAGAACAAAATAAAAAAGTGCTGCATGCGCCACAAAAGTGACAGGAAGTGTTAATGACAAAAACAGGTTTGCACAGCACATTGTTCCCCGGAAAGAATACCAGCCTGGAAATTGCTATGAGTAGTAAAAGCTGTCGTTTTTGTGAAATCAATGCAAGCAATGCATCAGATCCAGTTTGTCTCTATTATCAATCAGAAATGATGTCCTGCTGTTGGGTTTACTTAAGCTTCACTACTAACATTAATCCTGCAAAATAAATAATCCTGTGGGGAAGGCCAGTTTTTGTACATCTGGATTATTGAATAGTAGTACAGTAACTCAATTTTAATATGATTTACACAGATATTATGCCAGTTAGAATATAATATATAGAATATAATAACTGTTCTGTATCTCACGTACTACTGTACAGCAATTAGTGGGATGTCCTCCCGACGTGAAAGGCGCTGTACAAATGTAATTTTTGTTTGTTTGTTGTAACAATCAAAGTGATGGTGATATAAAAGAGATTGCTTGAATAAGTCATTTCAAAAAAATCTCTTGTTTTTACTTCAGTCTCTAGTCAGTATCTCTAGTAAGTATAGTGGAGTCCTGTAGCTCAGTGGTTAGAGCACTCGCTTTGCAAGCGAGAGACCTGAGTTCAATTCCAGGCAGAGGGCGAAACCTTGGGCAAGTTTCCTTACTCCACACAGAGCCTAATAATAATCCCTCCAAAAACCCAAACAATAGTAAATTTGTCATTTTCAATCCATGACTGTTTGTGGGACATTGCTTTACAGTGTGTTCTGTGAAGTGCTTTGGGACGTCCTCCCGACGTGAAAAGCGCTATATCAAATGCAAGGATTAATAATGGTCCATAAATTACTGGCACGAAGGACTGTGAAAAAACTGGCTTATAAGAAAGAGTCTCTATTGATCAACTTGGGCATCAACTGTACAGACTTTGCCAGGAGTGAGCGGGCTTTTGAAATGCATAATGTGCCATAAAATTAATCGAGTTTACTTCTGTAATTGTTTTGACGTAGTTGAGTGGAGGAGGGAGGGAGGGGAAAACATCAAAATAGTTCATAGAAATTTGATGCATCTTTTTCGCCTCCAGTAATATCTGCCAAAATGGCATAACAATACATTGCAGTGTGCAAGTATATTACAGTATTAATTATATCTGTAATCCCTGGCAGCAATAAATACATGGAGAGGCAATGAGAAATCTGCAGCAAAACTAATAAATATATTTGTACATTTCAACGTTAAAGATTTTTTTAAACCAACACTTTAATAAAGAGTTACTGATCTGATCGACATTGCTTGTTGAAGCTGCAAGATCTACCTTTAGTAACTACCCATATTTAAATGGTACACATGCATAAATGGCCTGAAAAACCAAACAGGATGCTTTTTGTGGAAACATGAAAAGAATACTTTGCAAATACTACCCAGAAAAAATAGGTGCTGAGTTCCCATGCAGAACAAACAGCAAAATGGTTTTCCCTTTGTGATCACAATAGAAAATTCAAATACTTTATGTTATTGTGTTGCTACTTTGGGGGAACAGAAGGGTTTAACAAACCAACCATGATATGAACAAACAATTTAAGCTGATGAATTGTTGGCCAGGACACCAGGGGAAATACATTCCCTTCTCTTTCCAAATACTGTTTTGGGATCTTCAATGTCTACCTGAGTCAGACGGATTCCTTAGTCTTCATTCGAAAAGATGACTGATAATGCAGTGTTCCTCAGCACTATATTGGAATGTCAGCCTAGAATAGGAGCTCAAGTCCCAATATGAAATTTAGATCTGCAGCTTTCTCACCTGAAGGTAAACAAGCTATCAAGTGTGCTAAGCTTTTGGCATCATTTTATGTATTAAAAAGGAAACAAGATTATGACTGATGGGCATACGATGGCTTCAAT